TCAGATAAAATTGTCCCAAAATTTAGAAAATTTCTATTTAAAAGATAATCCCGTCTTAAAATCTGTTTTTTTTACCATTATCTTCTGCAGGCCAGTTAGTTCTACGTCAGCCTGAACACCTAAATTCAGCCAATCATATATCAACGGTTATCTGTCAATCACATTTTTTCGGTCATAGTATCTTGATTCATAAATCGCAGCTAACATACGCAACGGTTGAAATCAGAAATCAGAATCCTTTCCTTTCCCATTGAGTTGCGTCCCAGTGTTCACGGGGATGGACGTCTGTGTCTTCGGCAGGCGTAGAGCTAACAGAACTGGCAGCGTTGCGAGGCAAGGGCTCAAACATGTACGGCTGGAAGCCTTCTACACCAAACCAAGCTTCTGCCGCCCTGGCGTCATCTTCCACAAAATCTTCGTCCCCGCTTTCCTCCTCTAATAAAAAAATGGATGATGGAGGAGACTCATCCACGACCTCCGACACTTAACTCTCCTCCTCTTGCATGTTTCCTCGGTCCATAGCGTTCCTTGACAGCGTCGTTTCTAAGTCACCAATTTAGTGCTACTTGGTCGCAATGGAATTTCCCACTGGGAACCTGCTAGCGCTAAGTTGCTAACTGGTTAGAAAGATGCTTCCGACAAACCGGCCACAACCAAACTGGTTGCGAACCTTCCGCTACAACAATCCCGCCACCTTGATAAACGACCAATCACATTCACTTTATTCACTCGTGTAAAGTTGGGCACCACTCGGGAGAATTAGGAAATGAAACGGTTGGAACAGCTGCTTCCCTACGACTTTAATCATAACATTGTTTAATCTAACAAAAATTGTTTTAACCAACTAGATTGGTTGTTTTTCCAACCAATCTATTCTTAGAATCTATCCAATTAACAGCAACTCTCCTACAAACTCCCACATCTTGACTGAATACTGAGGTTGTTTAAATGCCTGTCGATGTTCTCGCATGGTCTGAACCACTTCCAGAGGCGGTCACCTGGTACGTGGGTTAGTGAGGCTTTAGACTTCATCTATTTTGGCTCCTCCCCCAAATGAAGCAAGCCTCGATACATGTGGCTACACCCCCTCCACTACGCAGCACACACATCGAAGCCTCGGCTCATCTCCTAATTTCATTAGTTCTTAGTATTTTTAGTGTTTTTGGATGTTTGCCTCAGTTTTTCATTAAACCAACACGAACTCATCTCTGCTTTTGGGTCCTTAAGCAACCTCACTCCCTCATGTTGACACAGAATAAATAAACGTACTCATTTATGGCTTTGGGTTTCCAGCCATCATCAAGAGCAAACAGAGCAGTGGCGAAGCCTTCCACGAGTGGTCTGCTGATCTAGGAAAGAAAAATGAAAACCATCAGTGGATCCACCTCTGAACGGCCATAAAAGAAAGAAATCAGGGTTCTGGAGTGGCCTAACCCAAAGTCTGGACCTGAAAACCTTGCAGTGAGGCTCACACTGATGAATCAGCGCCTCAATTTCATGTAGTTTCCCATAAATAATGACATCACTAATTTAAAAAGCAGCGTTTTGTGTTGCTCAGGTTATCTCTGATCATTAAAGAATGCTCTATGATCTGAGAGAAGTGTCATAATAGAGCCTAATGATGTAAAATTGTTGTAAATGTGTCCATGCTAATAATAAAAGAAACAATAAAATATTAAACCTGAAAAAGTTAATCTGATTTCAGTCATCCAGTTAAAATAGCAAAGCGACTGTAAACATGACAGAATATTTTAAAATGAAAGCTTAACCTCTAGAAGAAATTTAACTTTGGCAGGTGTTTACATTCCACCTTTAAGATTTTTCAACATCTTCTCACAGGAGGAATATTTTAGAAAACATGAAATATTCTTCTCTCTGTCTTCCATTGCAAGTGTAAGACAGCATTGTGCTTCTGTTTGCACCCTTTCAGTCATTTCCCTGCTGTTTGCCTCTTCTTTCGTGCTGGAAAGTTATTTAACGGAATAAATAATAATAACAATGAAGTATTAAATTCACAGACTGAGTGTTTTAAACAATGTCACATTTACAGGTCCTTTAGACACGGCTGACTTGGTCAGATTTGGACATTCATCTCCGGACTGGAACATGAACAAATACGCTTCAGCTGATTTAGTCCGACTTTATTGTTTTATTGGTTCATAGAGTTTGATGACTTTCAAAGTGATTCTAATTCTGTCAACATGCAAACTTTTAGCGAGATCAAACAATTGAATGTGGGACAGGAGCATTACTTAGAGTAGTAGCCATTCAAAATTTCCCCACTTTCTTTAGCTGGTCCTCTGCTGGACATTGGGTATTCCTTGGCTGGTCCTTGGCTGTTCCTTGGCAGGTCCTTGGCTGTTCCTTGGCTATTCCTTGGCAGGTCCTTGGCTGTTCCTTGGTAGGTCCTTGGCTGTTCCTTGGTAGGTCCTTGGCTGGTCCTTAGTTATTCCTTGGCTGGTCCTTGGCTGTTCCTTGGCAGGTCCTTGGCTGTTCCTTGGCAGGTCCTTGGCTGGTCCTTGGTTATTCCTTGGCTGGTCCTTGGCTGTTCCTTGGCAGGTCCTTGGCTGTTCCTTGGCAGGCCCTTGGCTATTCCTTGGCAGGTCCTTGGCTGGTCCTTGGCAGGTCCTTGGCAGGTCCTTGGCTATTCCTTGGCTGGTCCTTAGCTGGTCCTTGACTGTTCCTTGCCAGGCCCTTGGTTATTCCTTGGCAGGTCCTTGGCTGTTCCTTGGCTACTACTTGGCAGGTCCTTGGCTGATCCTTGACTGTTCCTTGCCAGGCCCTTGGCTATTCCTTGGCAGGTCCTTGGCTGTTCCTTGGCAGGCCCTTGGCTATTCCTTGGCAGGTCCTTGGCTGTTCCTTGGCAGGCCCTTGGCTATTCCTTGGCAGGTCCTTGGCTGTTCCTTGCCAGGCCCTTGGCTATTCCTTGGCAGGTCCTTGGCTGTTCCTTGGCAGGCCCTTGGCTATTCCTTGGCAGGTCCTTGGCTGGTCCTTGGCTATTCCTTGGCTGGTCCTTAGCTATTCCTTGGATGGTCCTTGGCTATTCCTTGGCTGGTCCTTGACTGTTCCTTGCCAGGCCCTTAGCTATTCCTTGGCTGGTCCTTGGCTATTCCTTGGCTATTCCTTGGATGGTCCTTGGCTATTTCTTGACTGGTCCTTGACTGTTCCTTGCCAGGCCCTTGGCTATTCCTTGGCTATTCCTTGGCTGGTCCTTGGCTGTTCCTTGGCTATTCCTTGGCAGGTCCTTGGTTATTCCTTCGCTGGTCCTTGGCTATTCCTTGACTGGTCCTTGGCTGGTCCTTGACTGTTCCTTGCCAGGCCCTTAGCTATTCCTTGGCTGGTCCTTGGCTATTCCTTGGCTATTCCTTGGATGGTCCTTGGCTATTTCTTGACTGGTCCTTGACTGTTCCTTGCCAGGCCCTTGGCTATTCCTTGGCTATTCCTTGGCTGGTCCTTGGCTGTTCCTTGGCTATTCCTTGGCAGGTCCTTGGTTATTCCTTCGCTGGTCCTTGGCTGTTCCTTGGCAGGTCCTTGGCTGTTCCTTGGCAGGCCCTTGGCTATTCCTTGGCTATTCCTTGGCTGGTCCTTAGCTGGTCCTTGACTGTTCCTTGCCAGGCCCTTGGTTATTCCTTGGCAGGTCCTTGGCTGTTCCTTGGCTACTACTTGGCAGGTCCTTGGCTGATCCTTGACTGTTCCTTGCCAGGCCCTTGGCTATTCCTTGGCAGGTCCTTGGCTGTTCCTTGGCAGGCCCTTGGCTATTCCTTGGCTGGTCCTTGGCTGTTCCTTGGCTTTTCCTTTTCTATTCCTTGGCTATTCCTTGGCTGGTCCTTGGCTGTTCCTTGGCTGTTCCTTGGCTATTCCTTGGCAGGTCCTTGGCTATTTCTTGGCAGGTCCTTGGCTATTCCTAGGCTATTCCTTGGCTATTCCTTGGCTGTTCCTTGGCTGGTCCTTGGCTATTCCTTGGCTGGTCCTTGGCTATTCCTTGGCAGGTCCTTGGCTGGTCCTTGGCTATTCCTTGGCTGGTCCTTTGCTGGTCCTTGGCTATTCCTTGGCTGGTCCTTGGCTATTCCTTGGCTGATCCTTGGCTATTCCTTGGCTGGTCCTTGGCTGGTCCTTGGCTATTCCTTGGCTGGTCCTTGGCTGGTCCTTGGCTATTCCTTGGCTGGTCCTTGGCTATTCCTTGGCTGGTCCTTGGCTATTCCTTGGCTGATCCTTGGCTATTCCTTGGCTGGTCCTTGGCTATTCCTTGGCTATTCCTTGGCTGGTCCTTGGCGGTTCCTTGGCAGGTCCTTGGCTATTTCTTGACTGGTCCTTGGCAGGTCTTTGGCTGGTCCTTGGCTAGTTCCCTACAATTCATTTTTAAACATCTAAAATATTCTTTCTGTCGTGATTTGTGGACATTAAGATCTAAAGAGAAGCAACATCTCCTGGTCAGACCCTGTAATTTAATGAAAGGGTGGAGTCAGAGGGGAAAAAAATGGCTGGATGTAAATCTTTTTCTGCTTGACCTCACTGAGGGTGGATGGGGGGGTTCTCCGTTAGTAAGGGGTATGCCAATTATCCAAAATGGTAACTTGCCCTATAAAGGGTTTAAAATAATCCAACTGAGCAAAGAGAGTCTGATTCTGCCGCTCCAATATTAAACACTCCATATCAGTGGTATGCAGGCTTAATTCAATAAATAGAGGAAAAATAACCCATGTCTATTTTTATGCTGTCATATTTGAAGCGGCCTCTGCTGCCCTTCCTGCAGCCTTCATTCAGTTTATTTATATGGCGCCAGTTAAGAACAGATGTCATCCTGAAGCACTTTGCAGGGTAAACAAGTCCAGTTTACATACAGATGGAAACAATCGAATAAATCTAATTATAAAACGACATTCCAATGTAATTATGATACAAGGTGGAGAAGCTCAGAATGTTCTGATCATTGGAAAAGCTTCCTGCAGGCAGCTGGATTTTGATTCCACATCTTAATGAAGCTCTTTTCTATCATCCAGTGTCTCCAGCGGCAGAGCGGCTGCGTTACATCCTGAACGAAGAGGATGACGGGCCCACACCGACGCTCTTCACCGAGATGGACACTCTGCAGCGAGAGGGCGACGAGCTGGAGTGGAAGGAGTCGGCCAGGTGTGCGTCCACGCCCACAATATCTGTTAGCTGAATCTACCTGATGGTCACTAAGACAGGTTTCAGTAGGTAGACGGGAGGCATGGTCAGGAAGTGACTTAAACCAGTTAGATTTACGGTAAATATCTGACAGATAGGAGAAAAACCGAGAGGAAGACCAGAGCACACCAAGGGGGGGGTTTACCGTTAGGCAATTCTAAGTCGTTGCCTAGAGCCCCAAGTTCCTGGGGGCCCCATTAAACTCTGTTTACATGTATGGTTAATACAACTATTCCTTATTTGTGCACATTAATTATGTTTTTGATAAAACGCTAAGTGTCCACCATATTGGATCAGTCCATTTGCTGCACATGTTCAGAAAGGTCCAAACAGACAGCAGCAAACCATTTGAAAACAAACCATGCAAAGAGCAGTGTTGCCAACTTAGCGCTTTAGTCGCTGTATTTAGCCACTTTTCAGACCCCTCTAGCACTTTGATTTCTAAAAAGCTCCTAGCGCCAAATTAGAGACTTTTTTCTGCTACTGGAGACTTTGGAGACAACATCTAAAAGCAGCGAACTCTGCTCTCCAGAGCGAGTAGATTGGTAACCCCGCCTCCTGCTCTCCTCTATCTTGTCTGCTGTCATGATTCATGCAGCTATTATTTCATCCAAATGAAAAATGGAGAACAGATAAGCAGATCATGGCTTGTCTACAGTGAAAAGAAGGACTGGGTTATTTACTTTGGCCTTTTTGGAAACACAGGAAGGAGCAATCAGCTAAGTGAGCTTAGTGATTGGAAAAAATCTTTCATTCCTTTAGAGACAGCATGAAAAGTCAGCTCAGTACAAAACATAGAGGAAAACAAGAACAAAAGGGACAAGAAGAGAGGGACACAACCTAGAACAGATAATGGATGTCTATTCTATTAACATTACTCTATCTGTAGAATGGGCTGTTTTATGTGTTGTTTTCTCAATTCAGAGGGCCTCCTACCTGTCTTTGCCTAGGGCCCCAAATTTCCTAAATCCGCCCCTGCTCTCATTAATGTCCAGATACGTTTTCCGCTGATTCATTTTGTCTTCTTCCTGTCTTCTGGCGTCTTCAGGTGGGTGAAGTTTGAGGAGAAAGTGGAGGAAGGAGGAGAGAGATGGAGCAAACCCCACGTGTCCACGCTCTCCCTGCACAGTCTCTTTGAGCTCAGGACATGCCTCCAAACAGGGACGGTCCTCCTGGACTTGGAAGGCTACTCATTGCCTCAGATTATTGGTGCGATTATTGATTTTCTGCATCTCTTTTAACGGTTTCATGCATCAGAAACGACAAAACCAACAAATTAAAGTAATCCCAGCACACAGGGTCTGTGACTGGTTTGGAGTTTAGCAAATTAAAGGTTTTTTTTTTAGGTTTGAAGCCAGGTATGTTAAATAAGGTTCCAACATGCTCAACCTTATTCATGCTGCATGCAGGGTGACTCCTCAAAGAACTCGCCACAAACCAAACGTAGTTTAAACAGTCAGTAGAAGGTCATTCATAACCTCATTCATACTGACCAGTTGCTTGTAACCAAAGTAGAGGAAACTGTCAGCAAAGATGATGTATTAGGATTCATTTATATGGTATTAAATGGCATAAGAGTTATAGGCAAACAAGTTAGGCACAATAATTGACATTAGGATGATTCATGTAGGATCAAAAAATTAAAAACTTAAACTAAAACTAAAATCTAAACCTTTGGCATCTTAAAAGCTCAAAAGCTAAAATTCTTGAGTAACGTGTGTTCTTTCATTAAAACTAAAGTCTGAAAGATACTAAACTATTCTTAAATGTTGAGAAAAAGTTCAGAGAAAGGATCTTTTATGAGTGTTTAACCTTTTTAGTTAAAAGGGTTTGGCCATAATGACCTTTATTAAATCAGGTAGAAACAGAGGAAGACTTTAACCCCTCAGAAACCATCTAAAAGGAGAAGCACGACGGTGGAAGTATCATGGTTTTTAGGTGTTTTTGTTTTGTTTTAGTTAAAACATTAAAAAGCAACTAAAGAGAGATAAACTAAAATGGGAGCAGAGACAGAATCGTATCTGAAGAGCAACCAATGGCTACTAGTCCCAGTCCGGAAATTTGTGGGCAAAGCTGAAAAGGTGTTTGAACACGGAGGCCTCCACCCCTGCCTCAGTCCGAGTGGATGGGTCAAACTCCCAGCAAGCTTTGGTAGAAGGATCCAGGTCAAACACTCTGGATTTTTCACGCAGCAGAACCACAAATGACTTCCTGATAGTATCCTAGCTAAGCCTAGCCTGCAGTTTCATCTGATCTGTGTTCAAGCCTCCGTTTGGTTCTCTGAATGAAGCGTGTGTTTCTGAATCCATTTCTGTCCAGACGACATCATCGAGAGGCAGGTAGAAGAAGGCATGCTGTCACCTGACCTCAGGGAGAAGATCAGCTTTGTCCTCTTGAGGAAACACCGACATCAGACCAAGAAGCCGATCCACCGTTCCCTGGCCGACATGGGCAAGTCCAGCTCCTCTGGAAGTAAGCGTCCCTGCTGCAGACCGACCTCCGTGTTTAACAGAACATTATAAAGTCCTCGTCATTATGATGTCATTAAAAATATATTTTCCTTTATTTCTCCTTATTCTCCGTATTAACAGCCCTAATCTGTTCGCCATAGTAACAGCTTGATTTTGTCTCATATCTACATGTTTTTGTCAAGACATCCTGGATTCATATTATACCTCAGTTGGTAAATGGTTGCCTGCTCTCCAGCAGCCAGCAGGGCTCATATCCTCCACAGGGGACTCATTAATGTTTGATGAGTTAATTACCACGGTAACATTTCCCCATCTCATCAGGGCAGAGCGCATGCTGCTCAGAGAATCAGACAACTCCACCTACAACTATTTTGTTTCTGTTTAGCGGATGTTGGTGCTTCCTGTTCCTAACAGATCGAAGTGTACCACCCAGAGGTGGAGGGGGTCCGGGTCCGGGCCAGGGGCCCAACTTCAACCGCTCCACAGAAGATCTTCGAATGAAACAGCAGGCAGCTAACTACGGACGCCTGCGTGAGTCATGTTCTGTGGCTGCAGCCCTAAAAACACGAAATATTATAAGTTAAGGTGTCTAAAATAAAAACAAAATTACAAAATAAATCACAAACGCACAGAAAAAAAATCTAAATCTAAACAAGTCTTTTTTTTTTTAATAAGTGCATTTGGAGATCAGTGAGTTACTTTGCCAATAGAACAAGACAATTTACATTTGAAATAAGAAAAAACAATTGCTTTGAGTTATTTTAAATGCATATTATCTACTTATCTTATTTCAAGAGGAAAAATACTCATTCCATTGGCAAATCATCTTATTTACCTACTCAAATTAACAGCAGCTACAAGGGCATATGACAGTTTCCCAACTGGCATAAGCCGGTTCCCAACTGGCACAAGCCGGTTCCCAACTAGCACAAACCGGTTCCTAACTAGCACAAACCGGTTCCTAACTAGCACAAACCGGTTCCCAACTGGCATAAGCCGGTTCCCAACTAGCACAAACCGGTTCCCAACGGGCACAAGCCGGTTCCCAACTAGCACAAACCGGTTCCCAACTGGCATAAGCCGGTTCTAACTGGCATAAGCCGGTTCCTAACTAGCACAAACCGGTTCCCAACTGGCATAAGCCGGTTCCTAACTAGCACAAACCGGTTCCCAACTGGCATAAGCCGGTTCCCAACTGGCATAAGCCGGTTCCTAACTGGCACAAACCGGTTCCCAACTGGCATAAGCCGGTTCAAAGCTAGCACAAACCGGTTCCCAAGGGGCACAAGCCAGTTCCCAACTAGCACAAACCGGTTCCCAACTGGCATAAGCCGGTTCTAACTGGCATAAGCCGGTTCCTAACTAGCACAAACCGGTTCCCAACTGGCATAAGCCGGTTCCTAACTAGCACAAACCGGTTCCCAACTGGCATAAGCCGGTTCCCAACTAGCACAAACCGGTTCCCAACGGGCACAAGCCGGTTCCCAACTAGCACAAACCGGTTCCCAACTGGCATAAGCCGGTTCTAACTGGCATAAGCCGGTTCCTAACTAGCACAAACCGGTTCCCAACTGGCATAAGCCGGTTCCTAACTAGCACAAACTGGTTCCCAACTGGCATAAGCCGGTTCCCAACTGGCACAAGCCGGTTCCCAACTGGCACAAACCGGTTCCCAACTGGCATAAGCCGGTTCCCAGCTAGCACAAACCGGTTCCCAACTGGCATAAGCCGGTTCCCAACTGGCATAAGCCGGTTCCTAACTAGCACAAACCGGTTCCCAACTGGCATAAGCCGGTTCCTAACTAGCACAAGCCGGTTCCCAACTGGCACAAGCCAGTTCCCAACTAGCACAGACCGGTTCCCAACTGGCATAAGCCGGTTCCCAACTGGCACAAGCCCGTTCCCAACTAGCACAAACCGGTTCCCAACTGGCATAAGCCGGTTCCCAACTGGCATAAGCCGGTTCCTAACTAGCACAAACCGGTTCCCAAATGGCATATGCCGTTTTTCAAAACTGACAGGCTAGATAGCATATTTGGCTGTCACTGTCAGTCCAAATTAAAGCTAAATACACTTAATTTAGGAAAAGTTGAATTATTTCTAGATCAATTTTGCAGTGTACACATTTAACAAGGTAAAGTTTTTAAAAGGGGAAAAAGTTCAAATACGTCTGCAGCCTGCAGTTCCGTTTGAATTCACAAAGTCACTGATTTTTTCCAAGCATTTCAAATATTTCTTAATTGCTGCTCATACATGTGCAGACACGTCATCTACTGGAAGCAAATTTTGGGTTTGCTCAAACCACCATAAAGTGTCCTGCCACACTTTTCAGTCACATTTAAAGACTCCGTATCAACAAAACTCCAATTCTCTTAACTTTGAACTATTTTATAATGTTCCTTCTTAAAAACCATTCCCACAGTGGTATTTTACCCTGATTACTGTGTTTCTGGGTAATCTTTATGAATTCTGCTGTCTGAGTAGCAGCCCCTCCCTCACCTGGAAGAACAGGCAGCCATGACAGTTTGACTTCATTTTTGCTCAAAGTTGAGACCAACTGGCTCTTCTGGCAGCTAATCTGCACTGTTATATTTAAGCTGATATCAAAGTCATTGAAATGGTTTATTTTCTGGGTGAAATGGCACCAGAACAAGACTATTCCCCAAACAAACATACCTGTAGTGCTGGAATTAATATTCCACCATATAGATGACTGTAAAGCAGGATATAGCACCTTTATTTTTTTTCCCTTCAAACTATTTTATAATCTGTGTCAGGGTTTAGTTGAGGTTTTAATGACCTAAATGCAGAGGCTTGGAGGAAGAGATGAGTTCTTGTAGTTTTTATGGAGTTATCACAGGTAACAGAGGCAAGAATCCAAAAATCCAACATAAAAATTTAAACAAACCAGAACCATGGAGACGTCAGGGGAAAACATGGGCAAGGAAAGATGAGGAACCAGCACTGAGGAACTGCACAGGGAGAGTATTTATGGTTGACTGAACAAAGACAGAACTAATGAGCTGATTGGGAGCAGGTGTGAACAGAGGCTTCTAGAAGGAGCTGGGGGAAAGTAGACCAACACAAGAGGGCAACAGAGAGCAAGCAAATAAAAACCTAAGAACTCAAATATATCCAGAAAACACCAATAAGACTAGAAAACAAAGAAAAGCATTGATCAACGTGAAACTGAAAACTAACAGAAAACGTAACAGAATCAGGACTGTGACATCAACCAGAACATCGAATCAATAAATCTGTTAAACAGAACATGCCTGACAAGATTACAATCATAGGAACCGAAAGATGGCGGTGGTCCATGCGGCCTCAGCTCCTGGTCTCCAGGCTTTAACCCAGATTAGATGTCTGAAAGCTTCAGTGATTCAGTTTAGTTGCTTTTTCCAGTATGTCTCAGGTTTTAAAGCTTTTCTCATTAGCATCTGCTAGGTGATCTGGAAATACCGCCCTTCTGTAAAGAAGCAGTGACTGTTCTGAATGACGTGGAAACATGCAGATCTGATCTTTTAATAAGTGTTTGCCTTGCAGGCCATGCTCAGAGCAGAAGTATGAATGATATTGCCGACACTCCAAGCACCGACCAGGTGGGTTCTCTGACTTAACACACCTAACCCCTCATTCTATAACCTGCTCAGAAACACCAAGAAAGTCTGGTATTTTTTCACTCTTCTTATCTAAGTTCCTGTTGTCCTCCAGGCCGTACTCGTTTCCCCCTCTATTAACGCAGAGATCACCCACCTCTGTTCACCGTACGGATGAACCTCGGTCTTTTGAGTCATCAGTTCTTCATTGCAGTTGTTATCAGTGAGCCATATGCAAACCCATACTGTGGGCCTGTTAATGGAGCTGCTGTAATAATGCAGCTCAGACCCAGAGACTCATGCTGGGCCACTCAAGGCCGCGCCGCTGTCGATGGGATATGAAACAGACAGGTCACCATTAAGCGTCGCTCACTGGGGGGGAGAACATATGAAAACCTGAGGGAGGGTTTGTTTCAGAGCCCACAGCAGCTCACAGACAATGGAAAAGTGATTTCTCTTTTGTTGTTGCCGTGTGTTTGTGTCGATATTGAGCCGAAGCGGAGCGGAACATGGATCTCATTGTCCGGTCCGCGTGCCCACTGCTCACACGTGGCCTCGGATCCAGGCTGCGGATTATTGACAAAGCTTCTCTTTATTGAGTGTCTTTGAGCCTCGGCCCGATTTCCCGCCACACCTTGACCTGCGGTCGGCCGGGTCGGGCTGGATGGCCGCCGCTGTCCCCGCCACGGCTGAGTCATGCTTCAATCGGATGCTCGTCTGTCTGCCGCCATCAAAATCATGGAACACTGCAGACAAATGATAAATATTGGATCATGAAACTGCAGCAGCTTTTAAAAACATCAGGAAATGAAAATAAATAATAGTGGAATCATAACTGCCTATTGCTGGGTATATATATATATATATATATATATATATATATATATATATATATTTATTTTTTTTTTATTTATTTTTTTATGTATACAATATAATATATATATATATATATATATATATATATATATATTATATTCAATTCAGTTTATTTCTATAGCGCCAATTCACAACACATGTTATCTCAAGGCACTTTCCAGTTCACCAGATCATCCAGTCTGATTTAAAAGTTTTCTATCTAAGGAAAACCAGTTGATTGCATCGACACATTGACTCTTCAGCAATCCCTCACACTAAGCATGCTTGTAGCGACAGTGGAGAGGAAAAACTCCCTTTTAACAGGAAGAAACCTCCAGCAGAACCAGGCTCAGTGTGAGCGGCCATCTGCTGAGGCCCACTGGGGTTCAAGGAGACAGAAGCAGACATAGAAAAAGAAGCATAGATACAAAAGGCAACTGTCAACCAGCTCCACAGGCGGCCCCGTCCAGGAAACACACAGCCAGGCAGACGAGCTCCGAGCCAGCTCCCATGTCAGAGGATGAAGAGAGCACATCCAGTTAGTCACAGTCAGAGAAACAGGACTACACTGGAAAACAGGCCAAGCTCCAACATCTAGAAACAAAGGTGTTGATGGCAGCAGCACAGCTGATATTTCTCTCCAGGATGGAGTCACAGCCAAACAGGAACAGACCAGATGAAGCTACTATGAGAAAAAGCAGAGAGAGCAGAATGTTAGAGATTGAACTAACAGATTCTGCAGAGTGGGAGAATAGAGATAGAATGAAGCAGAATGATGAAAAAGGGGTCCCTATGTCCTCCAGCAGTCTAAGCCTATAGCAGCAGAACTATAGAGATAGCTCAGGATAACCTGAGCCACTCTAACTAGAAGCTTTATCAAAAAGGAAAGTTTTAAACCTAGCCTTAAAAGTAGACAGGGTGTCGGCCTCACTGACTAAAACTGGTAGTTGGTTCCACAGGAGAGGAGCCTGATAACTAAAAGATCTGCCTCCCAGTCTACTTTTAGAAAATCTAGGAACCACTAGTAAACCTGCAGATTGAGAGCGAAGTGCTCTGTTAGGAACATAAGGAACAATCAGATCTCTGATATCAGATGGAGCTTGGCCATTTAAGGCTTTATATGTGAGAAGGAGGATTTTAAATTCAATTCTGGATTTAACAGGAAGCCAATGAAGAGAAGCCAGGATAGGAGAGATATGATCTCTCTTTTTCATTTTCATCAGAACTCTGGCTGCAGCATCTTGGATCAGCTGAAGGCTTTTATATCCCAGTCTGGTCTAACACTTTCCTTTCTTTTTTTCTGCTGAAGCTGAGGAACAAGTTCATGAAGAAAATTCCCAGAGACGCAGAAGCCTCCAACGTCTTAGTGGGCGAAGTAGATTTCCTCAACAAGCCCTTTGTGGCCTTCGTCCGTCTGGCTCAGGCCACAACGCTGGGAGGCCTGACAGAGGTGCCGGTTCCCACCAGGTAAACTGTTCCACTGATCCTCACATCCTGCCTGCCGCCATCTGCACCGCCAGCACTTCCTGACACGTCTGCTTTCCTCTGCAGATTCCTCTTTATTCTCCTGGGACCCCAAGGAAAGGCCAAGTCATATAATGAGATCGGCCGAGCCATAGCAACCCTGATGGTGGATGATGTAAGCGGCCATCACTGTGTTAGGGAGACGGCTGCTGACAGCGGATAGTCTGAGGAGACCAGAAAAGATCTGATCAGCTGCTGACAGCCAAACAATCTGTTTGGTTAGAGTTCATTAGAGGGTTAGAGGGATCCTGAAAAAGTGCTAAATGTATTTTCTTCAATTATTATGAATTTAAGCTTAAATTTAAGCCCATTTCCTGCTTTAACTGCAGACTGTGCAATAAAAACTGTCTTCTTTAGCTTAGGGACATAATGAACATGTTTGTCATTAATGATGAAGGTTAACCTTATATTCTAATAGTAGTGAAAGTGGCGTTAGTAATTAGTTGCCTCTTACAACATCGCAGCACTAACATGCTAAAAAGAGTTTAAAAAGAAGAATATTTCAACAATGATGAGCTTCATTATTTGATTAATTTCAAACGGATTTGGTCCCTTGCCTGGCTGCACTCCACCAACGCAGCAGATTGCTCTAATTCCCTGCAAATGGAAAAACAGAAGAAATGCGAGCATTAACGAGCGGCGAGAGTGAAACCCAGACCGAAAGAAGAGCTCAGTGTCAGCAGATCCTGCAGGGACAGCTTACTGTCCAAAACAAACTACTAGAACTAATAAGTCATCGTTCAGCTCTCATCCTGCAACTTTCCGCTGCGCCCAGGGGGGGGATTTACCATTAGGCAATAATAGGCGGTTGCCTAGGGCCCCTAAGTTCCTGGGGGGCCCATAAAACTCTGTCTACATGTATGGTTAATACAACTATTCCAAATTTGTGCACATTAATTATGTTTTTGATAAAAATCCTTTTGCTAAAATGCCATCAGAACCCTGTCAGTGTCCACCATATTGGATCAGTCCATTTGCTGCACATGTTCAGAAAGGTCCAATCAGACAGCAGCAAACCATTTGAAAACAAACCATGCAAAGAGCAGTGTTGCCAACTTAGCGCTTTAGTCGCTATATTTAGCCACTTTTCAGACCCCTCTAGCACTTTGATTTCTAAAAAGCTCCTAGCGCCAAATCTAGAGACTTTTTTCTGCTACTGGAGACTTTGGAGACAACATCTAAAAGCAGCGAACTCTGCTCTCCAGAGCAAGTAGATTGGTAACCCCGCCTCCTGCTCTCCTCTATCTTGTCTGCTGTCATGATTCATGCAGCTATTATTTCATCCAAATGAAAAATGGAGAACAGATAAGCAGATCATGGCTTGTCTGCAGTGAAAAGAAGGACTGGGTTATTTACTTTGGCCTTTTTGGAAACACAGGAAGGAGCAATCAGCTAAGTGAGCTTAGTGCTTGGAAAAAATCTTTCATTCCTTTAGAGACAGCATGAAAAGTCAGCTGAGTACAAAACATAGAGAGGAAGACAAGACGAAAAGGGACAAGAAGAGAGAGACACAATCTAGAACAGATAATGGATGTCTATTCTATTAACATTTCTCTATCTGGAGAATGGGGCTGTTTTATGCGTTGTTCAGAGGGCCCCCTGCCTGTCTTTGCCTAGGGCCAAATATTTCCTAAATCCACCCCTGCACTGAGTTATTGATGATTAAAACAGCCCTGCTTTAACTGCTTCCTCCTAAGATGGATGGATTTAGGCTGAAAATGAATCAGATTGTGATTCTTGCTCATCTTTTTATTCTTAAGATGATTTACTTAAAACATTTTACTGGAGATTGTGTGATTTATGCTCCAATAATCTTGTTCTTGTTGTTCTTATACACTGAAAAAAATAATGCAACCATTTTTGGCATCTACTTAATCATATTTAGTTATTTAAACTAGGGATGCACGATATTGGGATTTTGGCCGATATCCGATATGCCGATATTTTAAAACTCATGTAGCCGATAACCGATATCGATACCGATGTTAAAGCTGGACAAAAATAAGTAGTCATTGAAAATAGCAGTTTTGTTTTCCATTTCAGACACTTTGAAAAATAATATACTCAAATATATTTTCATATGCTGATATCAAATTGATTTTTAAAAACGTGGTATCGATTGATTTTACTTTCAAAATCTGGTGAAATTTCATCGTTCTGTTACAAACTCTCGTGATATTTTGCAAATTCTTGTGAGATTTTGTTAGTAAAATAGATCGATACCGCGTCAATATATCAACATATAAAAATATGGCAACATTTGGTGAATTTTCGGGGGATTTCGTAGCATAACGATGACATATAGCAATATTTCATTAGTAAAAGAGATTGATATGGTGTTTTTAAATGGCAATATATCAGCATATGAAGATATTGGGATATTTTAATGTATCAATATTTTTTCCCTCATCTTTAGAAGTTTTTAAGTCTGTAAAAAGTAAGTTTTTGAGGAAGAAGAAGAAGTAGTATTTATTTTTTTATTTTTTTAGACTTTAGAAACTCAGAAGCTGATCAAATATCGGGTTAAATATCGGTGGGGTGGCCGATGTCCGATATTCAGTTTTAAGGCCGATACCGTTAGGGGGCCGATTATATCGTGCATCCCTAATTTAAACACAATTTTTTTATGTCCCTCCATGCTAATATGAAATAATTGTGTCAAAGTAACTAAATATGATGACGAAAAATGCCTTAAACTACATTTTTTCAGTGTAGTTGGGGTTCAAGCAGCCGTCAGAATTCCTTTGATGTGATCAGGTTTCATTATCAGGAAATCAGATGCCTTTCTGATCCCCTTTCTTTCCCATTCAGCTTTTCAGTGATGTTGCCTACAAAGCCAGAGATCGGGAGGACCTGATTGCCGGCATTGATGAGTTTTTGGATGAAGTGATTGTGCTTCCACCTGGAGAATGGGATCCCAAAATCCGCATTGAGCCACCGAAGAAAGTCCCCTCAGCTGACAAAAGGTTTGTGTTTCTCTGAGCTCTAGGAGCTGGGATAAAGTTAGAGAGAAACCTTCTGCAATGATTCCCAGTGGCCACCAAAGCCGCTTTTACATCCGTGAATTAGACTTAACAGGGAAAGAGATTGTGCCGCCTGAGCTTGAAAGCAGGAGATTAGAGCTTCATGATGGCTGTGCAATCAAAGTCTGTGATCATCATCGTTTGCGACCTTTTTTCCTGCAGGAAGTCGGTACTGTCGTTGAACGAGCTGGGTCAGATGAACGGGACGGCCGGAGGAGGGGGAGGTCTCTCTGAGGACGAGGAGATGCCAGTACAGCATGAGCTGGGAGAGGAGCTGGCCTTTACTGGTCGGTGGGTAATTCAGAGCTCAAGCTCAGATGAGTAGAGCAAATGATTTCCACCTCCATAAAGGTCGAACATGTTTTCCTGTTTAGCTGCTGCTGTCAGCCTGCAGAGTGGGACTGGACCAAATGGGGAATATTGCTTATTGAATGAGCATAAAAATATGGAAATATGTAGTAAACATAAATAAACTCTGGTAAAACAAAGCATGCAGAAAAAGTAAATTTGTTATTGTTATGGGGGGGGGCTATCAATTCAAAATAGATGCATACCAAAAACCAATCAAACATATTTCTAAATTATCACACAATTATATTTATACCAATGCCAACAACAAAAAACATTATAAAAACGAAAAACATACGGTAATTTTATAATTTCATCTTTGTACATTAATCTTGCCCTTCTGAGGCTTTGTGAAAATAAATCTGTGTTTTCCATGGTCCAATGTTGCAACATATTCTCATTATCAGTTCGTATGAAATCGTACGAAAAGTTATGCACAGTATTTCGTACGTTTTGGACGTTTTTCCTCGAAAAAACAGATCAGTGCGCAGGCAGACAGACGAAAAAAGCAGATCCGCGGACGGACGTAAAAACTGGGAAAAACAGTGTAATAATCACTTCTCGATGTCTCTAACTAGGTTGCTTGCTGTTTTGTATCTTAGGGTCTGGGTTAGAGTTAATTCTATGTTAAATTCTATGTTATTGAATGGTGCGTACGATGCGCATGCGCAAGGATATCTTGTCTCGAGGCAAGACGTAAAAATACGACGAAATACGATGAAAAAAACGTCAAAAACGTAAGAAATTACTGTGCAAATCGTACGATTTCATACGAACTGATAATGAGAATACAATGAATATTGTGTCACCTAAAACAAATAATGTACCAGTTTATTAACAGAAGCTAATAGTCAGCTTTAGATTTTTTTATTATATAAAAACTATTTATTTTTTGAGAATGTGTTTAACAGCAACTATGCAAATTAACAAAGAAAAAGTAGACTATATTCTATTATTTTCCATGTGAATCCCAGATTGTTCATTCTTCTTTGCCTTTTCTAAACAGTGCTTTTAATCAGTCCTAGCTGATGTTTGAAAAAGGAGGCGAGAAAAGCAGAATAAAGCCTTAGCCTCGCTGCATGCAGTTAGCCTAGCCTTAGAGCTAAACCAGGTCATGAACAAAGACCGAGTGAAGCGTCTCCATCTGTCTTTGGATTGCTGATTCATTTTGATGTTCAGCTGATCAGGTTCAAACGGTTTCACCTCCAGCTTCTCTTAACAAGTTTTCTTCCCTTGCGACTCGGACTGTCAATCATCTGCACAACAACTGTTGCAACAGTTCCTGTCACTTCAGGACGTAGCTTAGCTGCACCCAGAGCTCTCTTAGGCCCCGTCCACAGGAAGTCAAAACGAAAACGAAACGCTGATATTTTCCAAAACGTAAAATAAATGTGAGCCTCCACACGAATGCATGAAAACGCTGCAAAATGTATGCCAGGCCTGTAAGTGGCGCTGTGGTGCCAAAGCAAAAATAAGCGACGAAATGTTGGGCATGCGTAGTAATATTTATACATGGTTGCCCTGCGGGTCCATTTTCGTGGTTAAGTCAAATTCAGGTGCAGAACTATGTCGTCGATATTGCTCTGTTCTTCCTGGAGATATTCCAGAAGAAGAAGATTCTGTTGTAAGCCCGACAGCAGGGTGAGTAGCATTAGCAGCAACTGCGCCATTGTTGTTGTGATACTGTGTCGCGCATGCGTGTTTAGAGGCGACGCTATGACGCATGCGTGTAGGAAAAAAATATGCGGTTAGAGCGTAAAGATGAAAACGCGAAAACGGCGTTTCGAAATCTTCCCACTCTGAAGGCTTAATAAAAAAAAGATCGTTTACAGACCCCCGAAACGCCGGCTTCGTGTGGATGAGAGGCTGGTTTGGTGAAAAATTTGTGCGTTTAGGCCAGGGTTTGACTTCGTGTGGACGGGGCCTAATACTGCATCTACGGCTTTTAACGAGCATGCTTAGTGTGAGAGATTGCCTTCAAGTCAATGAGTCGATGCAATCAACTGGTTTTCCTTATCTGTATGATGTAATTTGAGTTTTTTTAACACAAATTTTTTAAAATGCATATAAAGAAAATAAATACATGCACTACATTTCAATTTGTTGGTAGGGTTCAACTTAATAAAATGTATTTCTGTTGACCTATATTTGAATTAATTTATATTCAACTAACTCGAGACATTAAATAACCCAATGACAAATGAATTAATAGAAAAATAATAATTGAACTTTATTGATCTCACATTGGAGTAATTCACTCTCTGCATTGGGGGAGCATTGGGCTGCCATCTTGGGGCACAAGAACCTCAGGATTCCAAGCTCTATGACCACTAGGCCGCCACTCCCCCCAATTGGTTTTATCAACTCAGTTATATTTACTTTAAGAGCAGAAACAGTTTTTGTTAACAAGCATGTCACATGGTCGAAATAACCTGGATGAGTTAGATCTTCCTCTGATCATGGATCTTGCTCTTAAGAAACTGATGGTTTAATTTGTGTGAACTTGGGTAACATCTACCTCCACTCTCCCCATGCGGGTCGTTCTCTGGTGAAAGAAGTCCGACAATTAAAGGAAGTAATCTTAGCAATGAGCAATTTTCATTGAAAGATGAAAGCTCACAAGGCGGCCTCATAGTGAACTCAAGAAGTTTAGGTTAGTTATCGTCATACATTAAATGTTCATACTAGGGATGCACGATATTGGGATTTTGGCCGATATCCGATATGCCGATATTTTAAAACTCATGTAGCCGATAACCGATATCGATACTGATGTTAAAGCTGGACAAAAATAAGTAGTCATTGAAAATAGCAGTTTTGTTATCCATTTCTGACACTTTGAAAAATAATATACTCAAATTTATTTTCATATGCTTTCGATCGCTTTCGATCGATGCTTTCGAAAATAGATCGATATTTTCATATCGATCTATTTTACTTTCAAAATCTCGTGAAATTTCATCGTTCTGTTACAAACTCTCGTGATATTTTGCAAATTCTTGTGAGATTTTGTTAGTAAAATAGATCGATACCGCGTCAATATATCAACATATAAAATATGGCAACATTTCGTGAATTTTCAGGGGATTTCGTAGCATAACGATGACATATAGCAATATTTCATTAGTAAAAGAGATTGATATGGTGTTTTTAAATGGCAATAAATCAGCATATGAAGATATTGGGATATTTTAATGTATCAATATTTTTTATCAATATTTAGAAGTTTTTAAGTCTGTAAAAAAGAAGTTTTTGAGGAAGAAGAAGAAGTAGTATTTAAATTTTTTTTTTTAGACTTTAGAAACTCAGAACCTGATCAAATATCGGGTTAAATATCGGTGGGGTGGCCGATGTCCGATATTCAGTTTTAAGGCCGATACCGATAGGGGGCCGATTATATCGTGCTTCCCTAGTTCATACATATGTTACATCAATCAAATATTACTAAATAATTCTTGTGGTAAGAAATTGTGTCACCTTAAAGGGGCTTGGATAACGTTTTTAGTGTGTGATTTGAGGCCGTTTATTGCGTATTTTTCCATATTTTCTGTCATTCCTGTGTGTTGATACGCTGTGTTGCTCTGTTAGTTTCTGCGGCGGCCTGTACCTGGACATAAAGCGTAAACTGCCATGGCTGCCCAGCGATATCTACGAGGGTTTCCACATCCAGTCCATCTCCGCCGTGCTCTTCATCTACCTCGGCTGCATTACCAACGCCATCACCTTCGGCGGTCTCCTTGGAGACGCAACTGACAACTACCAGGTGACACAGGAATGAGAACAGCGCATGGTTACCCAAGGAGTATTAGGACCAGGCTTTTTTTTTTTAATACAAGAATAAATTCATAACATTGAGAATAATGTTGTAAAAAAAAAGTCATAATAATGCTTGAATAAAGTTGTAAATTTACGAGAATAAAGTTCGTTTAGAGTGAACTGATTTATCAGGAGGCCTCAGCAGCTTTAATCAGAACCAGAAAACCGATGAAAAACAGCCTTCAGGCTAATTTAACATATTGTTGATTAATGTGAATCTTTCCTAAATGATAAATAAACCAGATCTTATTTGTCCTTTCTTTCTAAATTGGCTGAGATGTTGTTTTTTCTTGCACCTTTAGTTGACCCCCTCATATTTCCCCCCCTCCCACTCTGCATTTCCTCCTCCAGGGTGTGATGGAGAGTTTCCTCGGGACTGCGTTGGCTGGATCCGTCTTCTGCCTCTTCGGTGGTCAGCCCCTCATCATCCTCAGTTCCACTGGACCCATCCTCATTTTTGAAAAGCTCCTGTTTGAATTCAGCAAGTGAGTTTCTTCAGAGCAGCAAAGTTAAACGTCATGAAAACATCACCAGAAGAAGCAGGTTTAACAAACTCAGACTCAAATCCTCAACTCTGAAATGGTCTAGCCTAAAGTCAGGAACTCTGAGTTTTCAATTTCATAAAAGCTGCTGTGAATTATTTCAATCATCTCTAAGTAGGTCCACTTAGAGTTCAACACGTGCGTAACAAGTATGTATAGTCATGAACAGAAGACAGATGGACCCAGTATTCAAGAAGAGACAGTCAGTAGGAAAGTTCAAACTTTTATTAAATAAAACAAAAGTAAAGCGGAGCTGTGGCTCGCGGACACTGCAGGCGGCGGGGCGGGGCACCGCCCAATCTCAGACACTCTAGGGAGGAAACATAGGTAAGTGACCACGATAAACTGATATAAGATAATCTGTGTTGGTCACTTACCTGGTTTAACAGTCCAGACAAAGAATGTCCCCAGTGCTGCAGTTCCAGAGGTCATGCTGCAAGCTGATCCTGGTCAGGGATCCAGAACAGACAGGAACAGAAACAGGTGGCAGGATCCAGATCAGGCAGGAACAGAAACAGGCGGCAGGATCCAGACTTCCAGGCATCCACAGGCTCCCAGGATTTTTCAGAGTCTGACTGGGACCAGAAGCATGACCAGGTGGTCACGCACAGGAGCAGACAGGATCAGGTGCAGACAGGCAGGCTCAGTGGAAGAGGGTAGCCGAGACAGGACGTAGGAACCGGAACTTGAAGCAGGACTTTAAACTGGTCTCCTCCCTGGAGCCAGGCTTACTTTGATAAAAACTGAACCTCCCCCCATAATGAGCCAAAAACCCAGAGGACTCTGTGGGGGAGGAACAGTGGACGATCAGGAGACGAGACAAACACTAAAACCCTCTTTCCACTGGCAGCTAGGATCCAGGACAGGAACCAAATAAAACTGAACAGAAAGACTGACAGAAAGACAAGCAATGATCTGGCCCTGAATGCTCAGGCTGAACTGAATATAAACCACAGGAAACAGGTGAGAGGAATAAACTACGATTGAGGCAGGGAGGGAGAACGGCAGGCAAGAGGATTCACCAATTAAGGGAGAGCAAACAGGTCAGATCATGACATGTATCTAGATGGTTTGAAGTCTGATTATGGAAAATCGACCGTGAAACTCAGTGAACTAGTTTGAAAATCAAAATTTCAAGCCAATAGGGACAAGACCTTATTACCTTTGTAAAATAAAAATAAAAATGTGGATATTTTGATGGCAAAAATTAATGTCAATGTAATAACAAGAAACGCCAATTTGCCCGAATATATCAAGAAAAATAACAAAAGTAATTCTATAAAAAATTGGCACCTACATTTTTTAGTTTATAAACCTAACTATAATTGTAAACTAGGCTTATTAACAATTTAACTTTACTTTTTAACTTTTCAATTAGCTTTTTACCTTTTTTTTTCTTGATTTGTTAACTTTTTTTCTCAACTTAATTTCCAGTAGGTAATATATCATTCAATGGCTCATCTTATTGGTCAAATGGCAAAATTATATGTACAGCCATGTAGCAGCATATTTGCTGAATGGTTGGATATAGATCTTGTGCTTCTAGACCTCACTGAGGGACGGGGGGGACTCCATTTGTAAGGGGAATGTAAGTGATCATAAAATGGTAACTTTCCCGATAAAGGGTTAAGAAGCAGAAAGACGTGCAGCCTGCCAATTTATATGTTTCTGTTCATTCGGATCTCAGTTCACATCAGAACTAGAACTAGCTAAAAATTTACATTTACAGTCATATGTTTATATTACTGTTTTTATATATTTTTTTTAAACTTTTTTTCAAGGCTGCACTTTTAAAAAGATGAAATTGTCCAGAAAGCTGTTCCAAAATAATTTTTGTTTTCTTTTACACTTGTGTACGGTGGCCCAGAGGTGTCACCACTAATACAAAATCCGCAACACAAATTCAAGAGCCGCAACACAATTACAAAAGCCGCAACACAAATACAAGAGCCACAACACAATTACAAAAGCCGCAACACAAATACAAGAGCCGCAACACAATTACAAAAGCCGCAACACAATTACAAAAGCCGCAACACAAATACAAGAGCCGCAACACAAATACAAAAGCCGCAACACAATTACAAAATCCGCAACACAAATACAAGAGCCGCAACATAATTACAAAAGCAGCAACACAATTACAAAAGCCGCAACACAAATACAAGAGCCGCAACACAATTACAAAAGCCGCAACACAAATACAAAAGCCGCAACACAATTACAAAAGCCGCAACACAAATACAAGAGCCGCAACACAATTACAAAAGCCGCATGACAAATACAAGAGCCGCAACACAATTACAAAAGCCGCAACACAATTACAAAAGCTGCAACACAAATACAAGAGCCGCAACACAAATACAAAAGCCGCAAGACAATTACAAAAGCTGCAACACAAATACAAGAGCGGCAACACAATTACAAAAGCCACAACACAAATACAAGAGCCGCAACACAATTACAAAAGCCGCAACACAATTACAAAAGCCGCAACACAAATACAAGAGCCGCAACACAAATACAAAAGCCGCAACACAATTACAAAATCTGCAACACAAATACAAAAGCCGCAACACAATTACAAAAGCCGCAACACAAATACAAGAGCCGCAACACAATTACAAAAGCCGCAAGACAAATACAAGAGCCGCAACACAATTACAAAAGCCGCAACACAATTACAAAAGCCGCAACACAAATACAAGAGCCGCAACACAAATACAAAAGCCGCAAGACAATTACAAAAGCTGCAACACAAATACAAGAGCCGCAACACAATTACAAAAGCCGCAACACAAATACAAGAGCCGCAACACAATTACAAAAGCCGCAACACAATTACAAAAGCCGCAACACAAATACAAGAGCCGCAACACAAATACAAGAGCCGCAACACAAATACAAGAGCCGCAACACAATTACAAAAGCCGCAACACAAATACAAGAGCCGCAACACAATTACAAAAGCCGCAACACAATTACAAAAGCCGCAACACAAATACAAGAGCCGCAACACAAATACAAAAGCCGCAAGACAATTACAAAAGCTGCAACACAAATACAAGAGCCGCAACACAATTACAAAAGCCGCAACACAAATACAAGAGCCGCAACACAATTACAAAAGCCGCAACACAATTACAAAAGCCGCAACACAAATACAAGAGCCGCAACACAATTACAAAAGCCGCAACACAATTACAAGAGCCGCAACACAATTACAAAAGCCGCAACACAAATACAAGAGCCGCAACACAATTACAAAAGCCGCAACACAATTACAAAAGCCGCAACACAAATACAAGAGCCGCAACACAATTACAAAAGCCGCAACACAATCACAAAAGCCGCAACACAAATACAAGAGCCGCAACACAAATACAAAAGCCGCAACACAATTACAAAATCCGCAACACAAATACAAGAGCCGCAACACAATTACAAAAGCCGCAACACAATTACAAAAGCCGCAACACAAATACAAGAGCCGCAACACAATTACAAAAGCTGCAACACAATTACAAAAGCCGCAACACAAATACAAAAGCCGCAACACAATTACAAGAGCCGCAACACAAATACAAGAGCCGCAACACAATTACAAAAGCCGCAACACAATTACAAAAGCCGCAACACAAATACAAAAGCCGCAACACAATTACAAAATCCGCAACACAAATACAAGAGCCGCAACACAATTACAAAAGCCGCAACAAAATTACAAAAGCCGCAACACAAATACAAGAGCCGCAACACAATTACAAAAGCCGCAACACAATTACAAAAGCCGCAACACAATTACAAAAGCCGCAACACAATTACAAAAGCCGCAACACAAATACAAAAGCCGCAACACAATTACAAAATCCGCAACACAAATACAAGAGCCGCAACACAATTACAAAAGCCACAACAAAATTACAAAAGCCGCAACACAAATACAAGAGCCGCAACACAAATACAAAAGCCGCAACACAAATACAAAAGCCGCAACACACATACAAGAGCCGCAATTCCCATTGTGTTGCGGCTCTTGTATTTGTGTTGCGGCTTTTGTATTAGTGGTGACACCTCTGGGCCACCGTACTTGTGTCAACAAAATGACAAAAAAATCTGTCTAAGTCTATCATTAAGAATCCCTCCCTGAATCCCCCCCTCCCATAGGAACAACGGCATAGACTACATGGAGCTGCGCCTGTGGATCGGCATCCACTCCTGCCTGCAGTGCTTCATCCTGGTGGCATCAGACGCCAGTTACATCATCAAGTACATGACGCGCTTCACGGAGGAAGGCTTCTCCAGCCTCATCTCCTTCATCTTCATCTCCGACGCCATCAAGAAGATGGTGGGCTCTTTCAAGTATTACCCCATCAACACCGACTTCAAGCCAGACTACGTCACCACCTACAAGTGCGAGTGCCTCGCCCCCGACCCGAGTGAGTTCACCCCTTCGCCCAGGGACATCCATGGGGGTTCAGACAGACAGTTCAGTCTTTTTGGAGGTTAAAGCACATCTGAAACGTGTTCAGATCCCCGTGGTAAAGTTCTAAATAAAATAAAAAAACAAAAATAAACACGTTAATGTCACATTCTGCAAAACCATCAGATCTTTTAATGAGTTTCTAAATTTAAAAAGCCATCATTTAGATTTAAACAAATTAGAGCTGATTTCATTCTGTCAGCTGATTAATAAAGGTTCAGGTTTCCTTTCAGGATTTTCTTCAGGCTTCCTTTAACTGAAATCCCAGCCTGCAGTGTGGAGTTAAAGGATCCCATTATCTCATTAGGCAAAGCTAAGAGTGGAGTTAAAAATATCAATAAGCTACAATTAAGACACATCTAAATAACTGGAAAAATCTCAGTACAGTTAGAGAGACAATAAATCATAGACAGAACAGATTCTGTTGAAAAATAATGACTATAAGATGGCAGCCACTGTTAACAAACTGCAGCAATTCCTGCAAAGTACAATTTGAACAATCTTCTGCAATCTCCAGAGCTTGTGATTATGTTTTCCAAAGAAAACCTTATATGAAACATATAATAACCATATGTCTAAAATACCCTTAAAGGAAAAGTCCGGTCAGCAATGATTAATCAATGGATCATTGTTTATACATAAATCAATACCTTCGTGGTGATTTAATGAAATTAGCATTAATCAATGAAAATATAAAAATAATAATTTTAGTCGCGATCACTGAGTCTGGGAGCGGCCATTTTTGCCCAAATATACTAACCCCTCCCTCCTGCCATCTTCCAGCAGTGACGTCACGGTGCGGTAAGCCTAGCGCCATTCTCCCCGCTTTACAAGCTAAATCAATGGGAACTACTAGACACATCTGCAATCAACAACAATTATTGAAGATTTCCAGAGGACTTCACCATTGAAATTCACCAGAGCTATAGTGAAACTGACAATGCCCACGTGCATGGCAGCTGGATGCTGGAATACATCGGGTAAAAGTGGAAAAAAAAGAGTTATTCCACCTTTCTGATTCCTGATCCTCCACGGACGGGTTGGTCGTTGGATCGCCAACTTGAAGAGGGAGGACTTGCCATCGAACTTCTGGCCAGAGAAAAAACCCGTAATATGTAGCCAACATTTGGAAGAAGAATGTTTTCAGGATGACTTGGATAATAACGCGTTGTGACAAACACCAGATACAGCACTGGGACTTGATCAACAGCCGATACCGCACCGTGACAATGTCACTAACCAGTAGGTGGCAGTAGTGTTCTTTGACAAACATGGATGCCTCCAGTAAAGCACATTCACATGAAAATTACTCTGAATTAAAAACACTAATAATTTTTTGTACAGTATGTAATAATTTCATATTTAAAATACTTATATGACCGGACTTTTCCTAATATTTTGCTCTTAAATTTTCAAAGCGTCTGTCTGGAACACTAACATCCCATAATCACGGTGAAACCGGAGGCTGATGATTCCGTTTACTCTTCCTCCAAATGTAACTATGAGTTTTATAAAGGTGGATGAAGAAGCTAAAGAATCTAAACCCTCAGGTTGCTTCTTAAAAGCTGAAGGTAGATTTAATTTTAAAGTCTGAGTGAATCCGAATCAACCAAAGAAGAATATCAGCAGGATGGAAAGTTTTGGAACGACTTCTCCAGACACAGCTAACTGTGAGCGAAAATCTGTGGGTTCACCTGAAAATGGCTGCGAAGCTAAAAGAGCTGGAGAGGTTTCATGGGATTCTGTTGGAGACACAAAACACAGATAGCTTTAGATAAAATGACACACGCCGAACCTCCATCCTGACAGAGTTTACTCGATCCTTATTAGCATGAACAGAATATCTGCACCAGAGTGAGATCAGTGGATGTAAACCTCTTTTGATGCTTTTGCCATGACAGTACTTAAAAATTCCTACTTCTAACACCAATGCCAAAGCGTCTAACTCTGCACCAAATTTTAGATGATTTGATGACTCTATTTTCCATAAAGATGGATCTGCGTGTCAGCCATATTGGCTGATGTAACCTGTAACAGAAGCAGGCCACATACAGAGCCCTGAGGAACACCTTCTGTTTGGTCCAGCAAACAGTAGCAGCCATTCAAAATGCCCGTTCCCAGTCAAACGCCAACAGAATGGCAGCACACTCCCCTGCAAATCCCAGCAAAATCCCCTCCATGAACCCAACATATGTTTTTATGGACTCCAACCAAGGGTCTGACCAGGAGATGGCGCTTCTCTTTACATCTTAATGTCCACAATTCATGACAGAAATAATATTTTTGTAAAAAGAGTGATGTTTAAGAAGGGGACCAGAACCCAGGCCCACCAAAGAAGGTTTAGGGAAATTTTGAATGGCTACTACTGTAAACAGATGAAGGATTTCTCCTCTGATGGTCCACTTTATCTGGGCCAATGTGAGATCTCATCACATCTTCGATCCAGACCAAACCAGTATGGACCTCCCAGTCAGCCAAAGGTGACGTACATCAGGAAACCTAGAAACGTTGAAATCTTTGCAATACTTTGTTTTGCATCTGCACTCTTTTTATAGGATATCATCGTGGCATCTTCATTTTCGAACCTGCCTGGTCGCTCTCTGCCATGTTTATACTGAATTAACATTAAAAGAGGACATTTTTTAGCAATCTCTGCCAGAAGCAATGAAAACACCTTAAACTGACCAGAAGAAGCACTGTCTGAACGCCAGAGCTGTAGTTTTCCATAATCTTCATCCTGGATGGGTCCCTTAGGCAGTAAAATGATGAAAATAGATTAAAGGAACAGTACACCCAAAACATGATGAGCCTTCATTTTCTACTCCCCCCCCATGCTGAACAACACTCTGGAGTACTTTTTTGATATCTCAAATGCATCTGGAGATCTGGGAGGCTTCTTGCTGTCTGCTGACATTCAAATAATGGAGGTCTATGGCGCCCGAGGCAGAAAGGTCCATAAAAGTCCACAAAAAACGTGTCAATATTCCTCCATACTGCTCGTCCAATGTATTCCAAGTGTCCTGAGTGGGTAGCGTCCATAATTTACTCGAAACGAAGTCATTTAGAATGTTTTTAGAGCATAAACAGTAGTGTATAGGATTTCCTAAAAGTGCGCGCCTGCGAGTTCACGAGTCTACGGAAACCGCGGCAGACCAAACCAGATGAAAGTGCGCATTCAGCTCGGCAAAGAACTCATGCTCTTCCTCAACACTGAAGTCCTCAGACATTTTTCTTTCGTTGTTTCTTTCTTTGCACAGGTAAACAGCACATTTCTTCTTCTACGCTTGAATAATCGGCAGAGCAGACGCTGAATGCGCACTTTCATCTGGTTTGGTCTGCCGCGGTTTCCGTAGACTCGTGAACGCGCTTTTAGGAAATCCTATACACTACTGTTTATGCTCTAAAAACATTCTAAATGACTTCGTTTAGAGTAAATTATGGATGCTACCCACTCAGGACACTTGGAATACATTGGACGAGCAGTATGGAGGAATATTGACACGTTTTTTGTGGACTTTTATGGACCTTTCTGCCTCGGGCGCCATAGACCTCCATTATTTGAATGTCAGCAGACAGCAAGAAGCCTCCCAGATCTCCAGATGCATTTGAGATATCAAAAAAGTACTCCAGAGTGTTGTTCAGCATGGGGGTGAGTAGAAAATTAAGGCTAATCATGTTTTGGGTGTACTATTCCTTTAAAGTTAACAAATCTTTAAAAAACAATCAATCAATCAATTTCTTTATTGCCAACTACAATTTAAATAGTAATTAAGGTTTCAGTTTTAGTACAAGCCGTACGTGCCGCAGAACGCTGCCTATGGCACGTTCTTATGGTGCCAAGGGCCCCACCGTGAGGCGGTTCCCTCTAACGCTGCCTTTATTTCTGTGGAAAGATAGGAGCCATGTTGGAATGGAGAGGGGGGTAAAAGCACATTTCACCCTTTATCCTTGACAGGATACAGTTTGAGATATTAAAAAAAACCTCAGCACCAGGAAAGCACATAAAATCACGAGACAAACATTTCAGCAGAGGGTCACATCGGAGGCTGGAGCCACAAGAAAGTCAATCTGACATTTGAGCATTAGTTATCTGTTCAATCTGTCCATGAACGCTGTCCACAGGCCATTGTCCTTGATAAGATGGAAGTTTATAAACTAGCACTAAAGTTCTGGACGCATCCACAGATGTTTGCAGGTAGGGGAGAGGGGGTGCAGTTCTTGGCCCTTCCGCCATAACATCCTGGGTAGATATAATAAGGGGGAGGCCAAATCCACGATAACACTTATGGTTTTGAGAGCAGGCTGCACAGGAATTTTCCGTCAGCCTTGAGTCTTTCCTTGCTGGCTCTACACGGCAAATCCAATATTCCAAATATGTTAAAAATTTGACCAATTGCATTGAGAGGCCGGCTGACCAGATCAATTGTTTGAATTTGGGTGATATGAAGAGAGACCATAGAAAAGACAAGACACAGCAAAGCAGGGACAGATCAGGGAGGAACAGGAGCTGCAGGAAAGTACGACCTCCTCCTTCAAGAGTCAGAACAGAGCTCTGATTCCAGGAAATAATAATCCCTAAGAACAGAAACAGTCTTAGATGTGGGCTGATTATTGATGGATATTAGCAGTAGTTTTTGTGGACATTGATTTCTGTAACTGATTTGTCTCTGTTTGCTTTCACCATGCTCAAACATCCGGCTGCCGTATTTTGCAAGTGAGTTCCTCTCTGTTTGTTTGCATGCGTCTGCGAGTGCTCACAGCAATGTCCAGCGGGTGGATTCTCATCATGTTTTGCATTTCTTTTTGCTCCCCTTTTGTTTTCCTCCCCTCCCCTGTTATTTTCTGTCTCATTACCCCATGCGTTTGTGTGTTTGTCTATCTCCACCATTCACTAACAGTGGCTGCAATCATCTTCAATGGTTTAGTTCCAATGCCAGATAACAGCTCTAGTGTCTCTGGGGTAAGTGCTTGTTTTCACTTTTTTTCACTCGGTTTTTGGTTCTCTGTATCGTAAACCAGTTGTGTCCGTCCTCCGTAAAGTTTCAGCTGCAAAATGAATCCAAACGCTAGAAAAGAGCTAACCCTAGCATCGCCTCATTGCGACAGAAGTGGCTTTGCTCTCCTCTTATCCGCCTTTGTTTGTTTCTTGCCGTCGATCCTGCCGCCGTCCAGTTCTTCTCTGTGGTCTCTAACTTCCGACCCGTGCTGACATATTTACTCTGTTCGTGTCTTTGCCAAAACACTTCACTTGTCGCCTTCTCCTGTCTGCCCAACACTGCCGCCCACCATCCCAGTTGAATATCACAGCTCTGGACTGGAGTCAGCTGGGCAAGAAGGAGTGCATGAAGTATGGAGGCTCTCTGGTGGGAAAGTCCTGCAAATTCGTCCCCGACCTGGCCCTCATGTCCTTCATCCTTTTCTTTGGCACCTACTCCATGACGGTCTCTCTGAAGAAGTTCAAGTTCAGCCGCTACTTCCCCACCAAGGTAACAGAACTGTTCATGAACACTTGCACACACAGATTAATTATTTTAATCTAGATTAATCTCACTGTTATCTTGGAATTAATCTAAATTAATCTAGATTAAAATTGCTCATCTGAATTCTGCCAAAAACATTCATGATTTTTGTGTGCTACCTCCAGAATTTAAAAGAAACAGCTTGCCGATTTACCGAGTGTTTCTGGCTAAATCTTTCTATGCATTTTTTTCAATTTTGGGCGTTTACATAGAGTATTCATAACTAGTCCAGAACTTATGTCCAACGAGAGCCTATGCATAATGCACGGCAGCGTAATGCCCATGAGATGATGCTTTTGCATGAATGACCGGTCTGCATGAAAAGATGTCTTTGATTGCAGTATTAACCTAGCTGCAGTTTCCCCCCCACAAAAAATGAATAAATGAAAAGAAAAAAGAAAAAGAAAGAAATAAGGTTTGTTACCTTAGTTAGTTACCTTATTAAGGTTAGTAAGTTACCTTCCTATTGCCCCTCGGAAGTGTGTTGGTGGTGGGCGTGAACGCAGGGAGGATCCATCACTCACCTTCTGGCTCACCCTATGATGGGGATGAAGTCTGGAGGAGAACTGACGGTTTCCTCCTGTGAACCCCCTTTATACCAAAACGCTGCCAATACGCCATTATACAGTAGCTGGAAGTTAGAAACACGTTCAGCGCTCGTCTGGAACACGTCAGATACGTTGGAGAGAAGTTCTAGATAAGTTACACAGAAGTTATGCACAAGTTACTCAAAGGTTGATAAGCTAGACGCCACGACTGATGAGGAACTTAGACTTAACGTGTGTCAACCATCAGATTACTGACCTGTAACTTATGGCCCAGGTGTGAGCATCAGGGTTCGTACACCTTTTCCAAAGTCAAAATCAAGCACTTTTCAAGCACTTTCATGATCCATTTTAAAACTTTTTCCAGCACCTTACGGAACCAGTGTTGCGTGGATGACGGCCGGGGTGTGGGGGGGGTCAAAATGAATACATAAAACTAAATCCTTTCTTAATTTGTCAGAGCACACGAGGCAGATATTTATTTTCTATTATCAGTTTTAATAAACTACTTACCTTTCCACATATAGTTCACCGATGATGAAGACGACGAAGACGAAAGAAAATTATTCCTCTGCCATGTCGTAGTAATATAACCAACCAGAGGGTGTCGCATTTCAGTATTATCAGCCGTAGAGTTATCAATGCTGTTTTAAGGTCTGGGCCTGGCAATGAATTAAAACTTCGGGGTTTTTTTGTTGTTGTTTTTTTGGAACGTTGGCGAGGCGGTACCGTGAATTTGGCGAGGCGGCCGCCAAACTACAATAACATTACATTATCACACCGTACTCTCAGTCACTATGACTTACCCTTCATGTGACTCGACAGAGCAGACTCGCCCAATGTGAAAAGCTGCACATCTTTTTGCAGACTTTACAAGAGGCAACTTGTGGGATTTGTCCCCGTTTAATCCATAATTTGTATTTTTAATCTTCCAGCCAACGACAACCTCCCGGCATGGTGCCGTAGTGGTTTCATGGGGGCGGAGTCACACATGGAAATAGACTGGCAGATCGCAGGTTTCATTTTCGGGCTCTCCAACATTTTATTTCTCCATTTAATAAACACACGATTCAGTTAGATAGGTATTTGTTGCGAAAGAAATAGTTACAATTTCAAGCATTTTCAAGCATTTCATCCAAAATATAAGCACTTTTCAAACCTTGAAAACACAACGTCAAAATGCAAGCATTTTCAAGGATTTCCAGCACCCGTACGAACCCTGGAGGATACAATGGGATATGTCATGTATGGTAACGTACTCGCCGTATGTCGATGTTTGCCAGCGTGCTTCAGCGTGCTCATCACTGCTCATAACAAAACGTACAAATAATTTATCCAACATATTCCAGGGTTTTTGGAAGATTTTTCGTACGTCAGGCATACGTTGGTCACGGCCAACAAACTTCCTAGCAGACATGATGCTAAATCTGCTGCGACTGCAAACCTTCTTTCTTTCTTTTTCTTTATTCTTTTTTTTGGCAGGCGGTAAACAGCAGCTAAATTAATACCCCGATCAAAGACATCTTTTTCTGCAGGCCGGGCGTCTCTAGGCACATAGCTTCCCCCCTCAGGACACTGGCTTGGACAGAAGAACTGGAGTCATTATGAATACTCTATGTATATGCCCAAAATTAGAAAAATATATAGAAATTTCAGCATATGCCAGCGTTTTAGTAGCCTCGTTAGACCATCCTGATCTCGCGAGCTTTCAAGGTTTCACTCGCAGATCAGTCTGGAGACTCTCCGTTAAAGAAAATTTGGAGCCGTTCACCAAACGAACGTCCAATCAGCTTTGGCTTTGAGGCGGGTTGAGGTGCGACGCGACGAGAAGCGCGACAGTTCAGTCTAAAGAACATGGCGGCTTCAGCCGATGAAACTAGCGTTAGCGTGGCTATCGAGCAAGTTTTATCGGAATTACAGAATAAGAAGAAAGAAGAGCAAAACACTGCTCTGGAGGCTTTTCTCGGAGGAAAAGATGTTTTTGCTCTTCTCCCGACTGGTTTCGTCAAGAGTAGCCTGGCTTGTGGTTGTGTTTTCATCGTCGCTCTGTTAGTACGTCATATGCTTCGTTGATCTGATTGGTTTATTTGGCCCGTCTTTCACCAACATAGGCCAATCAGCTAACCAGTATTTTCGCCCCTTCCCAAAATTACTTCAACGGAAGGTTTCCAGATGGATATGCGGAGCAAATCCATCTGGCGGAGTCAGGTTAGCGTTTTAGGAGATCATAGGAAGTAGGGCATATGCTGGATGAATCGTCAAGATGTGACAGGGTCCTAACCTGCTTGCAAACAGCGCAGCGTGATTGTTCCCAACAATGAAATTGTCTGTAAGGACATTAGATATTCCACCACATTCCAGGGGAAAATTAGGGCGTACCAAAGCAAAACACAGGGCATGCAATTTCTAATATTTCTAGTAAAAGGCATTGCTAGTTTAAAGCCTGCCATCAGGTCTCATCCATGCTTTTTATTCATAAACTGACAAATATTTTTTTTTGTCCTTCCAGCTGAGGAAACTCATCAGTGACTTTTCCATCTTCATGTCCATCATGACGTTCGTCGGCCTTGATATGTTGGTGGGACTCAAAACTCCTAAACTGATCGTCCCCACCGAATTTAAGGTGAAATAAGTTAACTCATTTTACATTAAAAAAAAGGAACCGCTGGTTTTGAAAATGTCTGAAGGGCGTTAACAGGGTGCTTGGCTGTTCAGTAGATCAGAGAGTTATTAGATGTTTGCAAAACAGATCGGTTTTCTTCTAACATATAGGTTAACAAAACATAATAACTTTTAAATTATTTCAGACCAGCAATCAGTATTAACTGATGTTGGCCTGCGGCTTTTCTTCAGCCATGTTGGAAGCATGCACTGCAAAACATTGAAATAACTAATTTCTTCTTAAAATAAGTGCATTTGTTCTTGAATTGAGGAGGTAAATGAGATACTTTGCCAATGGAAAAAGACAATTTCCTTTTAAAATAGGAAGAAAAAAACAGTTGCATGGTCTTATTTCAAATGTAATTATCTAATTATCTTATTTTAAGAGTAAAAATACTCATTCTGTTGGCAGTTAATCTTATTTACTTATTTGTGAAATTTGTTTTCTTATTTTTTAGATTGTTTTTGCAGTGTTTGGAGCATTTTTAGGGTGATGTCCGCAGCAGTGGACTCAGATCCAGATCCAGGCGTTGAGCAGGCTGCTCCAAAACCGTCTCTCTATAGAGATGGAGATTCTGGAGTAATTTAGATGTTTTGGTTTTTCTAAATAAGGTGGGGACAGTGTTGTGCATGAATGCGTTCAATGAACAGCGTTTTTTTGGTAATGAACCGTTTTTTGGTAATGAACGTTCACTCTGAGAATAATGAGCGACTAACACAGCTCACATTGGCGTTCAATAGATCACGACACTTTTCATTGGATAACGTCGGGTTTTACGGCACCTATAACGTAAACATCCTGACAGAGCAGCATGTCTGCTGCTGGCACCAGTCTGCTCCATTCAGACTCATCTGCTGGGATTTCTGATGCCAGTTTAGCAGAGCGCTCGGCAGTTTGATCAACTAACAAAGGAATAAACTCACGTTTTAGTGCAAACTGTTCCCACCAGGATTTAACAAACAGGTCCGTCTGTCAGCCACGCCCACTTCACCTTTAAAGCCACACACGGAGTTAAAGCATCTGAATTATCTGGCTTTGCATTCAAATGCAGAGTTCATTTCTCCATTCTGAGCTCAAGAAAGTTCAATTTATTTAATTATTTTCATGATAATAGTTATAAGGTTTGTTTCTGCTTGTTGCCTGCTGCTGAATTCTTCCTGTTAAAAGGGAGTTTTTCTTCTCCACTGTCGCTACAAGCATGCTTAGTGTGAGGGATTGCTGAGGATTAAATGAGTTGACAGGATGATCTGGTGAACTGTAAAGTGCCTTGAGATTACATGTGTAGTGAACTGGCTCTATAGAAATAACCTGAGTTGAATTGAATTAAATTTGCTTGATGATCTGAAACATTAAAGCCAGTAAAAAAAAGGGTTGTTGAACTGGAGTCCTTTTCCTTTGAGGGAATAAAACAGTTAAAAACATTTGATGTTTTGCTCCTGCTGGTTTCTTTATTTATTTATACACTGGTTTCCTTTCCATGTGGCCTAATCCAGAGTTTTTCTAACATCTATGGTCCTCTGCTCTCACAGCCGACGCGGCCGGGTCGTGGCTGGCTGGTGATGCCTTTTGGGAAGAACCCTTGGTGGATCTATGTGGCCAGCTTTGTTCCAGCTCTGCTTGTGACGATCCTCATCTTCATGGACCAGCAGATCAGCGCCGTCATCGTTAACCGCAAGGAGAACAAGCTCAAGGTTCCTTCCCACTCACTGCCTTCCGTTAACTCATGCTGGTGAAGATTCTCAGTCATCCAGGTCCTAGTCATTCCAAAAAAAGTTAAAAACAATCCACTGGACTTTGTCTCCAAGTTTGTAGACGTTTCGCTTCTCGTCCAGGAAGCTTTTTCAATTCAAAATGTCAGAAATAGCTTTGATTTCCGGGCTTTATAGAGTGGCCCAAAAACAAAGCTTTGTTTTGGCTCAGAAAACACGCAAATTGAAGCAGAAGATCAGGTCCACGCTTTAGAAATGGGGGTCGTTTGGCTTTTTTCTTAGCCTGTAATACCCGAAACCTGTCTATGTCTCTGAAAAGGGGGTCGTTAAAGGGAATTATTGGACTGGCTGAAAAGTTGAGGCCCTCTGGTCCTCTGTAATGGGGTTGGGGTTGCCATGATAGTGGAAGGGAATCAACTGTATCGCTGCACTTTAGGTTTTTGAAAGTCCACCCCCTCTGAACAATGTTGGACCAGAATGTTCACATTTTGGACAAAGAAGACAGGTGGTTTGAGAGGGGCGTGAAGGAAGCCATCTATGTTAAGAAAGAAAAAAACAACCTTAAACAGAGGGGGACGTTTCAAAAACCTCAGATCCCTTCCCGCTATTATCACAATCCGATTAAAATTTCACATGAATCCATTTTGTCTGCGTTTTAACTAAATCAGTTTGTTTCTCGTGGCAGAAAGGATGTGGCTACCACCTGGACCTGTTCTGGGTGGGGGTCCTGATGGCTGCCTGCTCCTTCCTGGGGCTGCCCTGGTATGTGGCTGCCACTGTCATCTCCATCGCCCACATCGACTCTCTGAAGATGGAGAGTGAATCCAGCGCTCCAGGAGAGCAGCCGCAGTTCCTCGGAGTCAGGTTGGTCCCTATTGGTCTGCGTAGCTTCGTCTCTGTTCCTGCAGGAGAAACTTTCTGAAACCAAGATGTCTCTGTGAATTTTTGATTTTTACAGAGAGCAGAGGGTAACCGGCCTTTTGGTGTTCGTTCTCACCGGAGTGTCCATCTTCCTCGCTCCAGTTCTTAAGGTAGGAGATAAATATACGCTGGAAAAATCGACCACATTCTGCAGTAACATATACGCGACAGGGATGTTCACAGATTTTTCAGACTACAAATATAATTTATTAGTGATCTATGTGATACATTAACGCAAAGTAATACATACAGTAGGTCTCACATTTCTCACAAAAAGAAATATATTGATTTCTAATTTTTCTGTCATGTATTTTCTCTCCTTCATTCTGACATTTTTGTGCTTAAACTGATTAGAGGTTTAAAAGGTAAAGTAAAAAAATAATACAGCATTCTTATTGCTTTATTTTAATTATCTTTTGGGAAAGGAAGGATTATAAACTAAAGCCTCTTAAAGGAATAGTACACCCAAAACATGATTAGCCTTCATTTTCTACTCACCCCCATGCTGAACAACACTCTGGAGTACTTTTTTGATATCTCAAATGCATCTGGAGATCTGGGAGGCTTCTTGCTGTCTGCTGACATTCAAATAATGGAGGTCTATGGCGCCCGAGGCAGAAAGGTCCATAAAAGTCCACAAAAAACGTGTCAATATTCCTTCATACTGCTCGTCCAATGTATTCCAAGTGTCCTGAGTGGGTAGCGTCCATAATTTACTCGAAACTAAGTCATTTAGAATGTTTTTAGAGCCTAAACAGTAGTGTATAGGATTTCCTAAAAGCGCGTTCACGAGTCTACGGAAACCGCGGCAGACCAAACCAGACGAAAGTGCGCATTCAGCGTCTGCTCTGCCGATAATGCAAGCGTAGAAGAAGAAATGTGCTGTTTACCTGTGCAAAGAAAGAAACAATGAAAGAAAAATGTCTGAGGACTTCAGTGTTGAGGAAGAGCATGAGTTCTTTGCTGAGCTGAATGCGCAGCACTACGGGTAGCACTAAAGAGAATTTGGATTATGAAGCAACAGAAACAAAAAAAAATGGTCCCATCATTATTTTCTCAGGCATTTTATAAAAACTTTGTTTAAAAATTATAATGGAACACTTTAGTGATTTTCAAGTGTTACCTGGTTAAAGTAAAACCAGGAGACTGAGATCTTCGGCCTCTCCTCCTGCCATGCAGAGACGTTTGGGAGCATCAAGGCCATGGAGTCATGAGATTGGTACTTAAACCGCATGAATTAATTCAGTTTTATCTCTGTGAGAGTTTTTCTGAGCACATTCCATGGATTTCTGCCTGTTAATGATTTTATAAACGCAGTATTGCAGCAGAAACCCCATTTAAAGCTGAGCGATCTCCTGTCTGTGTTTGTAGTTCATCCCCATGCCGGTGCTGTACGGTGTCTTCCTCTACATGGGCGTAGCTTCACTCAGTGGAATCCAGGTACGCCGTCTGTTCGCTTCAATTTGTCTCCATAACTTGGTTTCCTTCTGGTCTGAACCATCCTGATGGGAGGCGACCTGTTAATCGCTGACAGGTTTTATGAATTATTATTATTATTGTGTTTCTCAGTTCTGGGACAGGATCAAGTTGTTCCTGATGCCATCCAAGCACCAGCCAGACTTCAGCTATCTCCGCCACGTTCCTCTGAGGAGGGTTCATCTCTTCACTCTCATCCAGATTATATGCCTGGCTATTCTCTGGGTCCTTAAATCCACCTTCTTGGCCATCATCTTCCCCGTCATGGTAGGTGCAGAAACGCCGTTTGCATGAAGCCTTTGCTGCTGCTTTTTCTCCTCCTGCTGCCTGAACTGCTTCCATCATGAGATAATCTGTCACAGGAGGACAGAGGACACGCACAGTTCCTTCTGAAATAACGTTCTTTATACTTCAAAGTAGCGCTGCAACAATTAATCAGATTAATTGATTATTGAAGTAATGTTCAATTAATTTATTTCCATTTTAGTTTATTTCTATTGTGCCAATCCACAAAAAAGTTCAGTTCACCAGATCATCCAGTCAGATTGATTCAAATTTTCTATCTAAGGAAAACCAGTTCATTGCATCGACTCATTGACTCTTCAGCAATCCCTCACACTAAGCATGCTTGTAGCGATAGTGGAGAGGAAAAACTCCCTTTGAACAGGAAGAAACTATGGTGTTAAAGAGAAAAACCTATAAAAGGGTGAGTCATCATTTTTCACCTACTTCCCCACATGGTCTGCAGACACGACAGACATGTGGCGACGAGGATGGGATTTTGTGTGGGTGAAAAGAGTTTTATTTAAAAAAAATAAAAAAAAACTCCATCGAGACGAGAAGATCTTCACTTTGATGAAAACGAAGAACAATTCGACGCCTATGTGGAAAGGTTAGAACAATTCTTCGTGGCTAATGGACTAAAACTGGGTGAAGAAAAGACCAAAGCCGTGTTCCTCACTGTGGTCGGTAAAAAGAACCACATGCTGCTAATGGACTTTTGTGCACCAGACCGTCCGAGAAAAGTTTAAAAGAGCTGCTTCAATTACTGCGCGAAAACTTTGTACCCATGACAAACGTTATTGCTGAAAGATATAAGTTTACTACAAGAAAACAAAGAGAAGAGGAGTCAACCAGTGAGTACATGGCTAGCCTGAGAACGCTAGCAGAACGTCGTGCCACTTTGAGACTTTTCTAGATGACGCTCTCAGGCACCGTCCACACCAAGTCAAAACAAACACGAAATGCTAATATTTTCCAGAACGTTTGTCGTAAAGACGGAGACGTAAAATAAATGTGATCGTCCACACGAATGCATGAAAACGCTGCAAAATGTATGCCAGGCCTGTAAGTGGCGCTGTGGTGCCAAAGCAAAAATAGGCGACGAAATGTTGGGCATGCGCACTAATATTTGCACATGGTTGCCCTGCGTGTCCATTTTCGTGGTTCAGTCAAATTCAGGTGCTGAACTATGTGGTCGATATTGCTCTGTTCTTCCTGGAGATATTCCAGAAGAAGAAGATTCTGTTGTAAGCCAGACAGCAGGGTGAGTAGCATGAGCAGCAACCATTCAACACAGTACGGCGCCATTGTTGTTGTGATACTGTGTCGCGCGTAAGTGTTTAGAGGCGACGCTATGACGCATGCGTGTAAAAAAAAAAATGCGGTCAGAGCTTAAAGATGGAAACGCGAAAACGGCGTTTCAAAATCTTCCCACTCTGAAGGCTTAATAAAAAATAGATCGTTTACAGACCCCCGAAACGCCGGCTTCGTATGGATGAGAGGCTGGTTTGGTGAAAAATTTGTGCGTTTAGGCCAGGGTTTGACTTCGTGTGGACGGGGCCTCAGAGACAGGTTTGTGTGCGGGGTTAAAGTGCGGAGCTAGAGGACCGCATGCTGACTGCTACTCACTCCAAAGAATTGACTTTGGCAGCTGCTTATGATATGGGTCTGGAACACGAAGTAACAAAACAAAATGCACAGCAGTGGTCACACAACGCTTTCAAGGCTAACTCCATTTCTAAGGCAACCGTGTCAAAGACGGAAGAGCGCGGAAAACCATGCTACAGATGCACCGGGAAAGGAGGTCAAGTTGCATTGGATGGAGCACATGACGTGAAATAAATAATTAGAAACATTAAACCCAAGCCAAGAAAAACGAGTACTGTTTGTTTTAAAAATATAAGGAATAGAAAGTACTATTAAAGATACTTGTGAGAAAATGTAATGAGTAGAAGTCAGAAGTAGGAAGAAAAATAACTAATGGAGTAAAGTATAGATACCTAAAAAGCGTTGCCGTTTCCCTACGACTTTAAACGCATGCAAGAGCCCGTTTCTCCTCATGAACGATGTGTTTAAAAGTTTCTGTTTGCATCGCTCATACAAGCTCACTTTCCAAAATAAGTTTAGCAATTTTTCCACGACGTCACACTCACCACTGTTAAGGGAAAATGGGGACGAGCACGTAGGACGGCTTACATAAACACATCACTAGAAAGATTGACAGTTAGGAGGACCACTTAGAACATCCTCTACTATACCTTTAATGCCTTATTTATCTTAAAAAAAAGGGGTTATAAGAAATTGAAGGAATTAGTTGTATTACATGACAAAGTAAAACGTGAACTGTTACAACCTGGACAGCACACTCTTAATAGTGAGACAGAGTGAAGGAAAAGTGATTTTAAACAATCTTTAGCAAGAAATGCTCAAACAAATGTATGTTTCTGTGGCTGGAGGAAAATATGAAATGATATGAAATTGTTAAAATATAAGGAACATAAAAATATCTAGATTATACGTCTAATCTGGTTCTAATCTGTCTTCAAGCTGAGGCGGTCTGATCTGATTCATTCATTTGGAAATGTGAACGGGCTTAATGAGGTAATAAGGAGTCTTCCTCTTCCTGCTCCTGTTATTTCTGCAGTAAATGTGAATTCATTTTTTCACGGAAAAGGAATAAAAGATAAAGAAATAGAATAAAAATATTATTTGACAGATTTGGAAAAAGACAAACTAGAGCAGAGGATTGGTTATGTTTCACTGGGATTACATCCAATTTATCAGCCATGGGATGCTTGAAAGGATAAGCTGGATGTGGAATAATTAGTGTGTTCTCTGTCTGTCTGTCTGTCTGTCCAAACCCAGATCCTGGGTCTGATGGTGGTGCGAAAGATGCTGGACATGGTGTTCTCTCAGCATGACCTGGCCTGGCTGGACGACCTGTTGCCTGAGAAAGAGAAGAAGAAGAAGGAAGACGACAAGAAGAAAAAGAAGGAGAAGGAAAAGAAGAAGCCTAAAGCAGATGACAGTGAGGAAGAGGTGAGAAACTCAACCCTCTGCTGCCCCCTGCAGGACAGAAGGCCCATTCTCTGATAAATATCTGTACTGTGTGTGAACAGGAGAAGTACCGAGGCTATTCCAACCATTCCCCCAGCTCAGAGTCGGACCTGGATCGCAGGTACTGTGTTCTGAAACTGCACATCCCCTACAAAGACCTGGTGTACCCTGACGTAGCGCAGTCCGAGTGGGGGGCCCACTGCCAGCAGGCCGCCCGCCACACATAGAGCTTCTTAGGAGCCCTGCACAGAACCGAGGCTCCGTTCCCAAAAACAGACAAATTTGACATAAACCTGAGTTCACCATGGAACAAAAACGAACATTTTATGATCACAGATCCTTTATATCCAGAACATGTTTGAATAGTTATTCAGGGATGATGTGAGAAAAAGTTTTATCTCTCTGTATTGAAATTCTCTGTTTTTTGCATTTGATTGGCTGCTGGATGGTTGCTACCTTCCAGGTTCACACAGTTCATTCAAAAGGATCTAAACTGTGGTTACGAAGAAGCAGCAGATCAATAAACTAATTTAAACAGCAGACATGAAGGACATGACTAAATGTAAGCAACTATTTTAAGATGAACAGTCATTTTAAAACATCCTGCAAACAAAAAAATTCATTCATAGATGCTGATTGTCATGATTTTACTAAAGTTCAGACCCAAATGCTGAAGACCAAACGGGGGACCAGGAGAAAAGGTTTAACAGGTTTTATTGAAGAGATAATTCAGAGAGAAGTGTTGCTCTGAACACTGCTCAACTGGAACTGAAACGTGAGGGGAAGACACAGCGGTTAGTTCAGGCTCAGTGGGAAATTTGTCTCGTGAATTTGGAGAAGAGGATCTGGTTGCTGACTCACGTTTCCGGAGAAGTTGTTGACTCTTTGACTCCAGTCTGTGTGCTGTACTTCCAGTGTTTGTCTGATTCGGTGGAGGGCGGAACAGGGTTTACCCAGAATGCAGTTGTTTGTAGGTGAACAGAGAAGCTGACTGCCACTCAGATTTCCTGCGGTACTTGAACGGGTCATAGTGGAGATGAATCCCTTTCTCAGTGTGAAGCTCAAACGATCTCTTGGGGAAAGTGGATCCAAACCTCCTGTTTGAACCCCAGCTCAGTTTGAAGATCTGTTGATCCTTCCAGGGAGAGAAGGTCCGAAAAATCCAGTTTGCAGGATGACTTCCTGCCGAGAGGCAAAGACAAAAACAATGTTAAAACTCAGGTTGACAAGAACTCAGTTTGACTCAGCAAAACTCAGCTTGGCTAGAGTACCCAAAACTGGCAAACACTCTGGCGTCTAAGTAGTGGCAGTCAGCAGCTTAAGAACGCTCCGTTAACGAGGAAACCATCAGCAGGTGTCTGAGGAGGCGGACCAGAACCAGGCGCCTCCTGGTGGAGGAAGAGAGACAAACACAGAAACACAAACAGACAGGAGTCCTGACACTGATTGGCTACAGTAGTAGCCTTTCAAAGTTTCCCACATTCCTTGGTTGATCCCCTACAATTCCTTTTTAAACATCAATATTTGTACTAAAATATTCTCTCTGTCATGTTTTGTGGACATTAAGATCTAGACAGAAGCGTCATCTCCTGGTCAGACCCTCTAATTCAGTCAAAGGGGGTCAGAGTAAAAAAATATGCAAGATGGGATCACTCCAGTGGCTGGGAGTCTGAGGAGGTGGGCTGCCATTCAGCTGGAGTTAGACTGGGAAAGGCCACTTTGAATGGCTGCTACTGTAAGATATTTAATGTAAAAATCTTAGGATCAAATCCAAAGCTTTCTGTCCTGATCTAAATAAAAATGACAGCAAAATTCAAAGTCTGAAATATTTCATTCTGCAAACCTGTTCCTCTGAATGTGGGACCAAAGAGAGAGCCTCAGTCTGCTGATCTGCCTTCAGGTTCTTGTACTTTGCTGCTCTGCAACCAGGAAGCAGCAAAGCCATTGGTCATGACATCAGCCAAGATTCGAACTCCAACTTTGAATGTGGTTCAATGAAAACCGGTCGGTGGGCAGGTTGCTTAGGATAACATTTAATGAAGAAATCAGAATCTAGAAGCTACATACTGCATTTATTCAGGTTAACGTTGGTAACTGGGGACAATGAGTCAAAACACAGCTGTTCAGCCATATTTTCCTAGAATGTCTCTATTTTTTTTTTTTTTCATTCTAAATCAATCATCTTGCTCTCATTAAATTAGATCAAATATTCAAACAGTTTCTGGTCAAACAGTCTCACTTCCTCCTTCAAGCCGCAGGTGAAAACTGTCATTTCCAGCCTGAGAGATTAGATCCTCTGTTTATGGCATTTAATGAGGAAACAGCTTATTTTAATATTCATTTCCTAAGTCTACCAGGAGTGGTGCACAGCAGTGTAAAAAATCACCTGCAATCAGACGGGTAGATAAAGCTAAATCGTATCAATGTTTAGGAAATATTCAATTCAGTTTATTTCTATAGCACCGATTCACACCACGTCATCTCAAGGCTTTTTCTAGAACCAATTCAACCAGATCATCCAGTCAGATTTAAAAGTTTTCTATCTAAGGAAAACCAGCTGATTGCATCGACTCATTGACTCTTCAGCAATCCCTCACACTAAGCATGCTTGTAGCGACAGTGGAGAGGAAAAACTCCCTTTGAACAGGAAGAAACCTCCAGCAGAACCAGGCTCAGTGTGAGCAGCCATCTGCTGAGGCCCACTGGGGTTCAAGGAGACAGAAGCAGACATAGAAAAAGAAGCATAGATACAAAAGGCAACCAGCTCCACAGGCGGCCCCGTCCAGGAAACACACAGCCAGGCAGACGAGCTCCGAGCCAGCTCCCATGTCAGAGGATGAAGAGAGCACATCCAGTTAGTCACAGTCAGAGAAACAGGACCACACTGGAAAACAGGCCAAGCTCCAACATCTAGAAACAAAGGTGTTGATGGCAGCAGCACAGCTGATATTTCTCTCCAGGATGGAGTCACAGCCAAACAGGAACAGACCAGATGAAGCTACCATGAGAAAAAGCAGAGAGAGCAGAACGTTAGAGATTGAACTAACAGATTCTGCAGAGTGGGAGAATAGAGAGAGAATGAAGCAGAATGATGAAAAAGGGGTCCCTATGTCCTCCAGCAGTCTAAGCCTATAGCAGCAGAACTATAGAGATAGCTCAGGATAACCTGAGCCACTCTAACTAGAAGCTTTATCAACAAGGAAAGTTTTAAGCCTAGCCTTAAAAGTAGACAGGGTGTCTGCCTCACGGACTAAAACTGGTAGTTGGTTCCACAGTTAGGAAAATAAGGAACAATCAGATCTCTGATATTAAGATGGACCATTTAAGGATTTATATATCTATTGAATTACATAAAAAATAACAAGAAATGTCAGAGAAGGAGGAACGTGATAAAATCCAAGCTCAGCATTGTTTCCTCTGTGTTAACAACAGTTTGGAGAGTAACTGTGATTTCTCATTGCCCTAAACACACCATGGGTGACGCATGGTTTTGGCAGCATCATGCTACGGGGATGCTTTTGTCCGGTCAGCAAATGTTCACAGAAAATGAAGAGACCACCAACTGTGACATGTGCTGAGTTCCAATTCAGCAGGAGCTGCCAAAGGCCAGATTCCTCGGTCGATGACGTCATAGCCGAAGCCTAGGATATCCCATGATTCATTGCGAGTCCAAGCAAGCTGGCTGCTCCGTGCTTAAAGGGAAATGGCGCCGAACAGTGGTGAATATTGGAAGTGCAGTTTAATATAATCCAAGAATGTGCTCTCTCGCCATCTCTGCAGTGTGGGGACTATAAATCTGATATCTGAGACGACGGTACTGCTGCTGAAGCGCTAATTTTATTAGCATCCATAGCAGTAGTGAGAAGTTCGGTATCCACTCTTTGCCTTCTTTGTATGGCCACATTCACGGTTGCTAGGCAACAGAGAGTACAGGCAGTGAATGCCTGAGAAGGCTGGACCTGTTTAAATCTATACAGTGGCGGTTCTAGACCAAATGTACCAGGGGGCCAGGAGGGGGCCAGCGTGTTTTCATGGGGGCCCAGAAAAAGCAAGGGATTAAAATATATCAAGAGAGCTGCATGAAGTGTAATTTATATTCAATTATACTTAATTAAAATTCTATTTCTTATTAGGTCAATATACATTCATAATTTAGGAATTTTACATATTTGTGACTTTATTTAAGTTAAAATTACCATTTTCTATAAAATCTGAATTAGAACTCAAGAAAACCTGATAAATTAGCTGTAAAAATCAGAGCATTTTTAAAATTTGTTTTGAAAAACAGATGAAAACTGGGATTCCGTCTCAATACCACTGAAGCTATCACCTTATTGTTTTTAAATAATTTGTAAAATAGAATTTGTAAATGAAAAAATAACTGAACTAGATCCAAAGGAACTATCAGTTCTTTGAGTATTATGTCTTCAGTACAGGGGCCATAACAGGATCTAGGACATGATCTACAGGAGCACTGGCCCCCGTTGGCCCCTGCCTAGAACAGCCCATGAATCCAGAGCCAAACACTTCTGGCCTTCTTATCTTCATGGACCTCCAAGGACCCGGTCCAGGTAGACCAGGTCCTTGGAGGACGCAGCCTCTGACATCAAACACACTCTTGGCCTATAAATCCTCGGATTCTCCTTTAACTTCCAAACGTCCATCCAAGCCGCACATTTCAGATTATTGCACCAGAAAACAAAAAGCATTGAACCCCAGATGTCTCTGTCGTCCACAGTGAAGCTACCTTTCCAGTTGGTCCCTCACACATAGTCCTGATGAGAAATGTCCCCATTGTGGGACAATAAAGGGATTTATATTCACTTTTTTTTTAAATCCTGCTCTGTTTATCAGCATAAACGCATCACCTGCTCCTGTCTTCCTGCTTAAACCACAATCTGCATCGCTGCTATCTGACCCTGTCCTCTTTTAAAGATGCTGGACCCGTTCCTTTCCCACCGTCCCCACATGGCCCAGTCCTCCCGGTTAGCTCCAGTCCTCCCGGTTAGCTCCAGTCCTCCCAGTTAGCTCCAGTCCTCCCAGTTAGCTCCAGTCCTCCCAGTTAGCTCCAGTCCTCCTGTCCGTGCGCTTTAAGGCAATGCAGATGGTTGGAAGGGAAACATGATCATTTCCTGCTCACAGCTCAGTCCTTCATGTCTGCTGCCCTTTTAGGAGCCTTCTGAAGAAAAAAAAAGATACTTTGTGTTGGGGGGGGGGTCATTAAAATGCTTTTTTTTTTCAGCTGAAAGCCACCGATCTATTTTGTTTGTGTAACTAAAGGAGTGAGATGATGTGTGGTCTCTGTATAAACAGGCTCTCCTACCTGTGTTCATGAGCATCAGGCTGTTTTGGTTGTTTCTTCTTCCTCAATGTGCTTGGGGGGGGGTCTAGATTAACGTTACATAGACAAACACCATGTAGAGCATCTGATGTGTTTCTAACTGTAGGAGAGGTTAGTCAAAAATGCGGCTAGATCAGCACCACCTGGTGTAAAACTGAAAAGGAGAGCAGTTATGCATGGTTTGTTAAAATGTTTTAGAAGTTTGGCATGAACTGGGAAAAAGTCCTTTAGTGTTTCTACTTCCCAGAAGCTCCTCCTGCTATAAACTTTCTACCAGCTTCACATCTATCTGTAATTTCTACTTTTTTTTTTTTTTAATAAGCTCTGTCTGGTTAGTGGCAGGCAGCAATCCTAGAAAGGTCAGTTCTAAAGCCTTGATTCAGGTCTGGACTTTGACTAGGCCACACTAACCGCTGCAGTTCAGCTCCTGGCCCTGCTGGAAGGCGAACCTGCAGTCGGTCCAGTTCCTGGTTCTCATCTAGGTTCTCAGATCCATCCAGCCCCTCGGAGCATGATGCTTCCACCACCGTGTGCTTTCCTCTATAGGGACGACATGTTCTCAGTGCAGCACAGCGTTCAGCATTGATCTGAACTTCATCCATGTTTGCTTGTAGTCCACTCTAGACCAGCGCAGTCTGCCACCATTTTTCTTGATGTGGCGTCTTTGAGCCCAATGATGCCCGATAACCAACAGGATATAAAGATTCACACGGACGTGGACACACTTTGGTTACTTTCCTTTCTGGTAGGACGGAGTATTAGGCGAGAATACAGTCAACATTATGCGAATAATGTTATAATATGATAAAGTCATAATATTTATCACAACAAAGTCCCAAAATTATCACAATAAAGTCTCAATGTTATGACAATAAAGTCCTAATATTATCACAACACAGTCATAACATTATGAGAATAAATTTACAACATTACAAGAATAAAGTTGCAAAATTATGACATAAAGTTGCAACATTATAGCAATTAGGTCATAATATTATTACAATAAAGTCGTAATGTTATGAGAATAAAGTGGTAGGATTTGTGGTGGGATTTTGGCCGATATCCGATATGCCGATATTTTAAAACTCATGTAGCCGATAACCGATATCGATACCGATGTTAAAGCTGGACAAAAATAAGTAGTCATTGAAAATAGCAGTTTTGTTATCCATTTCTGACACTTTGAAAAATAATACACTCAAATATATTTTCATATGCTGATATCAAATAGATTTTTAAAAACACGGTATCGATCTATTTTATTTTCAAAATCTGGTGAAATTTCATTGTTCTGTTACAAACTCTCGTGATATTTTGCAAATTCTTGTGAGATTTTGTTAGTAAAATAGATCGATACCGCGTCAATATATCAACATATAAAAATATGGCAACATTTGGTGAATTTTCGGGGGATTTCGTAGCATAACGATGACATATAGCAATATTTCATTAGTAAAAGAGATTGATATGGTGTTTTTAAATGGCAATATATCAGCATATGAAGATATTGGGATATTTTAATGGATCAATATTTTTTCCCTCGTCTTTAGAAGTTTTTAAGTCTGTAAAAAAGAAGTTTTTTAGACTTTAGAAACTCAGAAGCTGATCAAATATCGGGTTAAATATCGGTGGGGTGGCCGATGTCCGATATTCAGTTTTAAGGCCGATACCGATAGGGGGCCGATTATATCGTATATCCCTAGTAATTTCTATTGGTGGTCTAGTGGGTTAGGGCAGTGCACTTTTGCTCTGAGAAGGTTGGAAGTACCTGGTTTGATCCCCACAGCCTGAACTCTGGGTTCCTGAGCAAAACCCTAAACCCCACATTCCTCCCCAGGCGCCGCACAATGGCAGCCCACTGCTCTCTAAGGGGATGGGTTAAATGCAGAGTGAATTTCGTTCCTCTGTACTTGTGACAGTTTAATGACAATAAAAGCTGAATGATATTATGAGAATAAAATCGTAAATTTATGAGGATTCATTTATGAGAATAAATTTGTATTTTATGACAAGAAGCTCTTTCTTCCCTAAAATGTGGAAAGTTGAGCATCGTGTGAAGTTATAATTTGGCATCAGTTTTACAAATAAGGAAATATGAAGTCTTTTAGCGCATCAGCATCATATTATTATCATTATCAGAACTTTGAAACGATTTTGCAAACGACTGTATCGAAGAAAGCATGCTTTGCTTCTGAAACACGCTGTGGTATGATGACTTCAACTTTATTCTCGTAATTTTATGACTATTCTTGTTAGGGGGGGATTTACCATTAGGCAAAACTAGCAGTGTCTAGGGCCCCAAGTTCCTGGGGGCCCCATAAAACTCTGTTTCCATATCTGGTTAATACAACTATTCCTTATTTGTGCTCATTAATTATGTTTTTGATAAAATCCTTTCACTAAAATTCCATCAGAACGCTGATAATAAGTGTGTCTCAGCCCCCCCCCCTTCAGTGTCCACCATATTGGATCAGTCCATTTGCTGCACATGTTCAGAAAGGTCCAAACAGACAGCAGCAAACCATTTGAAAACAAACCATGCAAAGAGCAGTGTTGCCAACTTAGCGCTTTAGTCGCTATATTTAGCCACTTTTCAGACCCCTCTAGCACTTTGATTTCTAAAAAGCTCCTAGCGCCAAATCTAGAGACTTTTTTCTGCTGCTGGAGACTTTGGAGACAACATCTAAAAGCAGCGAACTCTGCTCTCCAGAGCAAGTAGATAGGGGTACTTTCTGGGACTTCTTAAAGTTGACTGTTCAGTTAAATTTTTTAGGAGAACAGTAAAGACTAAACTGTGTGACCCCCCCCTCCTCCCTCGGAGCTGTTGGGGCCTCTCCTGCCCCCCTCCCTCCTTCCTTGGTGTTGTGTGTGTGGTAACCAGAACTTGCCCTTCCTCAGCATCACCCTCCACTTGAAGATCTCCTGCCCGTCGTCGCCGGCCATGCCTATGGGCCGAGGGATGGCCTGCCCCGTACCCCAGGTCAAGATCGAGATGGAGTCGGACTACGACTCGGACACGGACCTCCACCGGGGCCGGGACATTAGCAGTGAGACCACGTTATGATCCCCTGAAAGCCACCGGTGCAGAGCTGGAAGTTGGCAGCAGGATGGATACGGACATCCCTGTTTGATGGCCTGTTGTCCAGCAAACAGGACACCGAGGATGAAAACATTTATTTATTTACTTGTATGATATAAAGGATCCTGCAGAGAGGAAATATGTTTGGGAAATACTGTGACTTTATGTAATTATTATGCTGCCATTTTACTGTGGCTAGTTCTGAATAAAATGCATAATGATGCCAGATGGATGTACAGAGATGAGCAGTAGCTGTAAATCCTCCTGTATATACTGTAGCTCCGTTAGCGTGTAAATATCCGGGTTGATCTGATCCCAAAGCTTTTTCCCCGTTTTCCCTTCATAACTTCCAAATCGGCACATTTAGCAAGAAAAAAAGAAACAACCAAAAGGCCCTGATGTGTGTTTGTAGGCCTGCCTCCTGTCTGCAGCTGTAACCAGCAGCTCTTTGTGTTTTTATATGGCTGACTTTAAACGGGACACCAGATGTGCTGTAGACAGAAACCAAACAATTAAACCTTCTTTATTCTGGACTCTGGAGTTTCTTTCCTTCTACAACTGGAAAACATCACAGACAAAACTGCTTCATCATTGGAGAATATTCCAACAAAAACAGAAATTTTGACTAAATGTTAGAATCCAGAAAGCCTCTTGCTTTACTGGGGAGTTCTGTGGGGGGGTTGGAAAGTTCAGTAGTCAAAAATTAAAAGCAATAATTATCGTTACTGTTTGGTGAGAAAAATAAGGTTATTTTTCCAAGCAATTTTTTCACTAATTTATAAAAATCAAAGTTTGAAATTTAGTTTGTCAATTAAGTTTTTTTTTTTTTTGCCTATTAAATATTTTGCTTGTTGAATATTTAGCACCAAGCTAAATATCTATTTTCCAAACTAAATATTTAGCTACCTTGGTGAAAATCAAATATTTAGTTAAAGCTACATATTTATTTAACCCTTTATAGGGCACTCAGTGAAAGACTTTAAATATAAAACCTTCAAGCAAAGACTGCAAAAACTTGAAATCTAAGTATGTCATTTTATCTTAAAATAAGTGCATTTTCCTTGAATTGAGTACGTGAGACACTTTGCAAATGGAATAAGAAAATTCACATTTAAAATAAGGAAAAAATGCAGTCTCCTATTTCAAGTGCATAATATCAAATAATGTGATTTTATGGATAAAAATGTTCTTATTTACCTACTCAAATTAAGGATAAAGACACTTATTTTAAGACATTTTCACTAATTTTTAGATCATTACCTTTTTAGACCTTACTACCTTTGTAACATTAAAAAAATATGGATATTTTGATGGCGAAAATGAATGTCAATGTAACAAGAAATGCCAACTTGCCCGAATATATTAAGAAAAATAACAAAAGTGGGGGGGGGGCTCCATTTCTAAGGGGTATGCAAGTGATCAAACACGGTAACTTGCCTTATAAAGGGTTAACCAACTAAGCATTTAGTTTGGAAAATATAAAGCTTGCTGTCAAATCTTTTAACTGACAATCTAAATATTTAGTTTGGAACTTGGATTTTTATAAACAATTGAATGACATACGGTAAAAAAAACGTATTTTTCCCTCTCAACCCGTTAAATAACCATAAATGATCCTAATTTCTAATTTTTACTGCTGAACTTACAAACGGCACCCCATAGATTTCCTCTTAATAGTTTAGTTTGAACATATTTAATGTGAGTTATTAATTCCCTAAAAACTGTATTTCATTTAATGGATCCATATTTCTAATTTTTCTTTCTGATAAATATTTTCATCATCGGTTTTAGTTTTCATCAGATTAAGGAGACATGTTTTTGTTCTTCAGTTTATTGATCCACTCCCACCTTTACAAAATTATCTGCATCATCTGCAAAGCAAACAAAGTAAAAAACTCTAAGATTGTCTTTTATGTAAAGAATAAAAGGAATCGGTTCCAACACTGACCCCTGGTGGACAGCACAATTAAAATCTGTTTTTCTGATTGCAACTCCATCAGAAAAGCGTCTGAAGTCAGTTGATTGCTTCTGGATCATTTTCTCCTCCAGTACTGTGTCCAACATGGCGGACGGTGGCTTCACTTTTTTCGGGCAATCAGCAATCCAGTGAATAAATAGAGATCAGCGGATGATGAAGCAGTTCTGCTGACGTGTTTTGACTGATCAATGATTCTCCCAGTGGAACCACCGACCAGACAGAGGAGCTCTAATGGAGGATCTGACCATTTGAGATAGATTGGTGAGAAGAAAGAAAACAGGGAAACTGATAAAGGAAGCATTAAAGAACGGATGAGATGCCGCCACATCCAGGCGTCCAGCTTCTCTCTTTAAGGACAGAAATGATCCGTGTTCATAGAAAGGTCATGAAAACACAGAAGCCGTCCTCTAAGCCTTGGTGAAGCCCTCGGCGAAGCCGCCCCCCTCCACCAGCAAGGGCATGCGGTTGCACATGGGGCACAGTTTGTTGCGTTCCTGCGACGCCCTCATCCAGACGATGAGGTTCCACCGCTGGCCACGGGAGATGGGCAGGGCCCCGTGCATGTGTTGGCCCCGGTGCAGGAGTCCCTCTGTGACCCTGTGCTCCACCTCTGTGCACTCAGTCTCACTCAGAGGAACCTGCAGAGCAACAGGACCAGCGAGGTTCAGAAAAATCTCAGAGAAACGTGGATTTAAAGCTGCAGCCTCACCTGCCGCATGTCTCCAAAGAAAAGATTTCCGTCGCTGAACTCTTTGCCCAGAGACACGTTCAGAGTCACCTCTGCGTTGTCATAGTGATAGCTCAAATCCAGGTCTTCCTTCAAGGCATACTTGACGACAAAAGCCTTGTGGCTGTCCAGACAGCGCCCCCCGCAGTCCGGGTAGAGCAGGGAGGCGAGCGGCTGCAGGTAGAGCTCCCGGAGCGGAGTGATGAAGCCGTCATCGAAGCCCAACTCGTTCAGAAGGATCTATGGAGACGAGGGAAATCTGAATGGTCCGAATAACGCCGGATTTTCTTCTAAACGGAGAAGCTTTCCATACCTTTCATTCATTTTAAAAAGTATGAACATGTCCTCCAGTCTGCACTTATATGATTTTGTCTTTCTTGGACATTTATAGCAAGTTTGAACGCAGAAAAAAGGCAAATAATCCAGACGCCACGGCTAAGCATCAAATAAATATGACATCATTGAATAAAACATTAACATTATAACAGCCCAGAATCCTGCATGGAGCAGCGCTAATGATGCTTCCTCAGGGCTCCGTCACACCTTGCCCATTCATCCAGCGTCTGCCTGACGTACGCAGAAATTACTCAGAGGGTTAGGATAATATACAGGGTTCCTGCAGCATAAGGCGAGTTAAATTCAAGGCTTTTTAAAACTTTTTAATGCCACTTGAAATAAAAATTTAAGACCAAATTTACAAGAAACACAAGAAAAACCTGCTTGCAACAACTTAACCCAAAGGTTTATTTTAACATAAACCACTGCACTAATGTTTCAAATTTTGAAAAGCCTCCCATACAGGAAGAAAGCTAAAAACACACAAATGACAGATATATTTGAACAATTATTTAACTGAATTCACAAACTTTGTTTTAGCAGGGAACAAAACAAATCAGTTTTAAAGCCCCAACATAACCAGTGCTAAGTATTTTTTGCAGCTATTTTTCTTTCTATGGTTTTCTTAGTATGTTTGATTTGGTGATAAGTGGAGGCGTTGCAGAGACAAGGGTGGAACTAAACTGAGAAATACCGGCTGTTTCTCTGTAACTCCATTTTGATGCTTTGTGTTTCGTGCTTCGCATGTGCGACTCCACTGCCTTAAAGGAATAGTACACCCAAAACATGATTAGCCTTCATTTTCTACTCACCCCCATGCTGAACAAAACTCTGGAGTACTTTTTTGATATCTCAAATGCATCTGGAGATCTGGGAGGCTTCTTGCTGTCTGCTGACATTCAAATAATGGAGGTCTATGGCGCCCGAGACAGAAAGGTCCACAAAAGTCCACAAAAACGTGTCAATATTCCTCCATACTGCTCGTCCAATGTAATCCAAGTGTCCTGAGTGGGTAGCATCCAGAATTTACTCGAAACGAAGTCATTTAGAACGTTTTAGAGCCTAAACAGTAGTGTATAGGATTTCCTAATAGCGCCCCCATGCGCGCTCACGATTCTACGGAAGCCGGCAGACCAAACCGGAAGGAAGAGCGCATTCAGCGTCTGCTCTGCCGATAATGCAAGCGTAGAAGAAGAAATGTGCTGTTTACCTGTGCAAAGAAAGAAACAACGAAAGAAAAATGTCTGAGGACTTCAGTGTTGAGGAAGAGCATGAGTTCTTTGCCGAGCTGAATGCGCACTTTCATCTGGTTTGGTCTGCCGCGGTTTCCGTAGCGTCGTGAGCGCGCATGGGGGGCGCTATTAGGAAATCCTATACACCACTGTTTATGCTCTAAAAACATTCTGAATGACTTCGTTTCGAGTAAATTATGGACGCTACCCACTCAGGACACTTGGAATACATTGGACGAGCAGTATGGAGGAATATTGACACGTTTTTTGTGGACTTTTATGGACCTTTCTGCCTCGGGCACCATAGACCTCCATTATTTGAATGTCAGCAGACAGCAAGAAGCCTCCCAGATCTCCAGATGCATTTGAGATATCAAAAAAGTACTCCAGAGTGTTGTTCAGCATGGGGGTGAGTAGAAAATGAAGGCTAATCATGTTTTGGGTGTACTATTCCTTTAATTCCCATCGTTCTGAGCTTGAATGACTTCTTGCATTAAATCCACTGAGCCTCATGTATGTTCCCTGGTTTTAGCCATGGAGGAAACTCTTGGCTGGAGACAATTTTGGTTACATTTACACTTGCTCATATTTTCCAGATAAAAAGTTAATGGTGCATCTCCCAAATGTCTTCTTCTTCTTCTTGTGAGGTTTTATGGCGGTTGGTAAACTTGTGAAATGTGCATTACCGCCACCAACTGATATGGAGTAAAGCAAGGAAACAGGAAATGATTCACCCCAAAAAAAAAAAAAAAACCTGTGTAACTTAAACCCACATTATACTAAATCATCGTATAATTTTAATTTACTTTAAGTCATCGTGACTCTGCCAGTTTCTGATGGTCCCATCGGTCCTCCCATCATACTTCCAACCATCTCCCAGTTCAAATCTTTCACGTCCAGATATTTTTCTGCAGCCTTCCCTATTATTTTGATTTTTTCGGGGTTTTTTGTTGTCTGTGCAGTACAATTAATCACTTCCACCATGAAAAGAACAAAATTTGTCTTTTTAACAATTAGTGAGTCTTCTTCAATTTTTGGAGATTTCTCTAGAGGTCTGAAATTTGCCGTGTGTTGAACTGTAGGTTTGGGTTTTTCTGACTGAGATGGGATCCTTTTTGCAGCTTCAGCGTAGGTTATTCCGAGCTCAAATTTTATTTTTTTTTTATTTCCTCAGACCTTTTGCTTGCTTCACAGCCGCGATAAGCAGCAGTATGTTCTCCACCACAGTTACAGCATTTTATTTGAGCTTCTTTTCTACATTTACCATATTCGTGTTCTCCTGCACACCTTCCACACCTCTGTTTCCCTTTACAAACTGCTGCTATGTGTCCGAATTTTTAGCATTTAAAGCATTTCAAAGGTGGAGGATTGTAGATTTTGACATTATAACTGATGTAACCAATGAATACTTTGCTTGGTAATTGCTCTTCCTCGAATTTAATTAGCACTGATAAACTGTCAGATCTTTCTCCGTTTCTTGTTGTTTTTAATCGTTTTACTTCTTTTACTTTTGCACCGCTTATGTTTTGTAGAATTTCTTTGTCAGAAACTCTGAGAGGAACTCCTCCAATGACTCCTTGATCCGTATTGCTTTGCCTTGCTGGGTGCTGTCTCTGCAGTTTATTAGCAGGTCTCCACTCTACAGAATTCTGGCACCTCTGACTTCTCCAACAAGTTTATTGATGGTTTTTGTTAAGTGAACCGGATTCCAATTTGTAAAAGAGTCTGCCTGATTAACAACTTTGAATATGACTTTGAATTCATTTTGTTGTGCTGTGGAATGTATGGATTGATCATCACTGGATTGTTCTGAACTGGATTCCCCTTTAACTGATCTCTGTTTTTTCCGCTTTTTCTCTTTTTTGACATTGCTATCTTTCAACCTTCTTCATTGTCACTATTTCCCTTTTCCATCCCACAAGAATCGCTTCCTGTTTCCTCACTACTCACGGCCCAGGACATTTCTCCACAAGCGGCTTCAAAACAAGCGCCATGCACCAGACGACCATCCAGGCGTCCTCACAGCTCACAAACCTGCCTCAACGAGCTACTGTAGCTGGGGAGGGGCGGTACTGCTGCCACGGGCCCTCCCAAATGTCCCGGCCGCAACAACACTTTTATTGGTTCCGCTATCGGGACGGAACCAACAATGGCGAGCCGTTATTTTTTTTTTATAAAAAAAAAAAAGTCAATTTTAACGTTTTATTTAGATTACAAAAATAAATTATAATAAAAATAATCCTATTTATGATGTTTTAAAAATTAAGACTTACAAAAGACTGATTTAAGACATTTTAATACCAATTAAGGCCTTAGTTTTAATTTGAAGAATTCAATGACTTTTAAGGCTTTTTAAGGACCCGCATAACCCTAATATAGACGCCACGGCTGATGAGGAACTGACACTGAATGGATGTCAACCATCAGATAGCTGACCTGGAACTGATGGCCGTATGTCGACATACGACGTACTCGCTGTATGTCGATGCGTGCCGCGTGTTTCAGCGTATCCATAACTTATCCAACGTACGTCAGGCGTACGCTGGTCTAAATCGTCAAGCTGTGCCCGGCGCTTCAGACGCAGCTTTCTGTGGCGTTTCAGAGAACAGAATGGAGGTCTTATTACCCCATAGTTGTTCATGGTGTTGGGTCTTCCTTTAGGGGCCGACGACAGCTCAAAGTGCTCCAGCTCCTCCACCAGCTCCTGGCAGAACTTCCTCTCAAACACCGGGAGCCGATAGACTCTGGGAGCTTCAAATGACAAAAAACATTGATGTAAACGGCTCTGAATTAAGGATGATTAGAACACAAGAACAAGCAGTTTTCACCACTTTGAGGCGGATTTTAGATCCCTGTTTCATTGATTCTGGTTTCTTTCTAAGAACCGTAAATAATCTGATAGTCTGATGCACTGAAATTGTTTCTGCTCCTCCAGCCTAGAGCCTTGATTGGTTAATAAACAAGCAGGTTTTCTAAAGAAGGTCAGGCTGATTATGAGGTTTACTTGTTAACCAGCTTCAGCCTCTAATTTTAGCATTTAGCAAAGTTATGCTGCGTTCACACCGAAGACGTTTGAAGCGTCAAAAACACAGAAATTTGGATGCTGGACCAAAGTGTGGTGAAGATGCTTTGCTGCTTGATGCTCTGGTTGTTTATCTGCTCTGTTCAAGCTAGAGAGCAGCTCGGCTTCATTTACTTTATGAGCTGGAAAAATAGTTTAAACTCGTTTTGAAGTGAGAAAGTCCACCTTAAAACATCCTCTGTTTATCAGGATCAGTTCTGGTTCAGAGAGCCAGACCTCCAGCATACCGCTGGTGGTCTGTCAGATGAGCATACCCCGTCAGACCAACATACCTATGGTCAATACGCATGCGGAAGATGTCAGATTTGCGTTTATCCCTTTGGTTTTGTATGAAAAATAAGACTTTAAACTACCTTGATGCCTGTAGTAATGTTCACCACATCCTTCAAAAAACACCAAAAAGTAAGTAATTTAATCGTTTTTTGTACATGACTAAAGGGATACACGCCCACTGAGGTAGTTTAGTCTATTTTTCATGCAAAACTAAAGAGATAAAGCCACAGATTAGCGGACCACGGTCTGGATCCGGACCCAACCTGATTTAAAACATCTATAAATTACAGAATCTTGTCCAACTACAGTGTCTAATTTCACTTGCGCCTCTTCTGCTGTTAATACGGTAAAGCCCTGGGGAGCGTCCGGCTCCAGGCTGCACGTGATCCAAATGAGCCAATGAGCTGTCAGTCTGGGTTGCTGCTGCTGCTACTTTTAGACACAGCAGGCAAACCTGTGGCAAGCCGGGCGATGGGAAAGAAGGAGAAGACCATGAGAAAAAGAGAGCAGAGAAAGTGTGGACTGCTGGAAGAACTGCGGTGAACTGGTGAAAGAAAAGTGAAATGGCGTGCTCAAAGATGACCCTGCACATTTAGAGGATGTTTGGCTCAACCTGCTGCTGTGAAGCAGGATTCTCCACCATGAACAGAATCAACAATAAATCTGGATCCAGGCTCAAAATGAGCTCCTTGATATGTGCTTGAGAATGGCTTAGTCTCCGGTTAAACCCAGGTTTAAAGCCTTGCAGGGCAGCCTAAAGCCCACTGCCAACATTAAGACAGAAAAAAGAAAGAAAATAACAAACCATCAGTTCAGGGGTTTGAGAAAATATGGGAATCAGGAAATTATCTATAAACCAAACTGAACGATTGTTGTTCTCTACTTCAAAAACACTTTAGATTTTAAAATGGAAAAACTCTCTATTTTTTTATATTTTTTTTTTATTTAAAATTCATTGTATAACATGGATGCATTAACACCTAATTTTATTTCAGTGATAAATTCTATTTAAATTAACAGATTATAATCAAAAATGTCTAAATGCTAAATCAAACATGCCAATTTCCCCTTCTTCGCTGTCAGAGTCACTTTCCGTGCAGCGCAGCTCCTCAGAAATGATGCCGGCTTTTGCAAAAGCTTGAACAACAGAGCCAGCAGACACGTTAGTCCATCTACAATCCATCCGCAAACTGTGGCGTAACTTGCCCGGCGCTGCCTTCCACTTATCCTGAAACTGTGGTCTCCGTCTGTCATCCATCGCTCCCACGCCGCTCGCAGCCTTACTTTGAACGGCCGCTTCACACTGATGTCGAGCGGTTGAAGCTCCTTTGTCAGACCCCCGGGATAACGGCGAGCACAGCGTCCATTTGATTCACCTTTTTTTTTTCACATCGGCTGTGAGATGGGCACGCAGCGATGGTGATGCGTGGAAAAAAACACCTGTTCTCCTCACATACACCTGCCTCAGCCACGATTTCATCATCTTCTCATCCATCCAGCCTTTTTCATTTGCGTTAATATCATATGTCATCAGAGCGCTGTCTGTCTCGCTGTCAGCTCCCAGATCAGCTTCTCTGATTGGTTGATGCGGCGCGTCCAGCAGCAAAACTTCAATTTTTCCATCTCGAGCAGCAGCAGCGCGTTGGCGGATGCTTAAACGCTTCCCGACGCGCTGCGCCTGCTGCTCAAAACGCGCTGCGGGACCTTTTGCTGCGCCTATACGCGCGTCAACCATTGACTTTGCATGTAAACTCGCTGCTTCTGCTGCACCTGCTGGGTCCGGTTCACACCGATGTCGAGCGGTTGAACAGCGAGCACAGGGTTAATTTGTTTCCCCATGTTTTTCACATCAGCTGTGAGATGGGCACGCATGGAGTCACATATTAACAGCGATGGTGATGAGTGGAAAAAAAAAAACACCTGGTCTCCTTACATTCAGCCACTCTTTCATCATCTCCTCAATGAGGTGGTCTCAAAAGTCGCAGTTACAACACACATAGGGCGCACTGCACATTTTGAGGGGGAAAAAAGACGTTTAAGTGCGCCTTATAGTCGTGAAAATAGTATGTTAAAAACTGAAAGTACCAATTGCACATTTTTCATCAGCAGGTTTTACCATTTCTAGTTAATTTGGGTTTTTATAAACTGCTTCTCCGAAGTTCATAAATTTATTTTAGTGCAGCAATAATGATCAGAGCTGCTCTGTTCCTTCTACATAACAATCCATTCTACCGGCTTTTTTTAACCTCTGGAGTTTAACTCCTTGATATTTATTTATTCTGAATGTCTGCAGAAGGATGACAGCCTGCAGGTAGAGTCTGTCTCCCCCAAAAACCTCCTGGATTAGATTCTCTGATTGGCTGAAGCTGCGGGGTCCCGCTGCAAAAAGTCAGTTTACTGAACTCCAATGTCGAACGCTCGGACGCGCCGTTGGACCTTCCAGCGCCGACTTTGCATGTAAATCTGACGCCGAAAGCGCGCCGGAGTTAACGCACTAGCGTTAACAACCTTTACCTTAATGCTGACGTTCCCTCAACTAGAAGTTTCCCTGTAGAAACCTAAAAGCTCAGCTTTGCTCGACTGGTTCCTGCCTTCCTGAGATCTCCTGAAAGTAAGTAACTCTCTACATTACTGCATCCCTTAGTGAAAACAGACTTTTCTTTTTTTAGTAAAATTAATGTTGATCACCTTGTTGGGTCTTTTTCATTCAGTATTAACCCTTTAAAGGGCAAGTTAGCATTTTGGTTCTCTTGCATCCCCCTTATAAATGGAACCCCGCCCCCGTCTCTCAGTGAGGTCTAGAAGCACAAGATCTACATCCAGCCATTACATCTTATTTTGGCATTTGACCAATTAGATGAGCCTTTGAATGATATATTACCTACTGTTAATTAAGTTGGAAAAAAGTTAAGTCAAGAAAAAAAGTTAATAAGCCTAGTTAACAATGATATTTAGGTTTATAAACTAAAAAATGTAAGTTCCATTATCAGCATTAATGCCTCTAGGTCAGGGGTCTTCAACGTTTTCCAGGCTAAGGACCCCCAAACTGATGGCGAGATGGAGCGGGGACCCCCTAATTTTATATATTGTATGAAATTGTGTTATATTAAACTGGTTCTATAGTCACTCTATTACAGATGGAGTAATGTAATGGAACTAAATTCTCCCTGGGATTATTAAAGTATTTCTGATTCCTGGTTGATGGGACAGGTGTTGTGAATAAAACGGTGTCCAGCTTGAAAGAGCTCCTGTGTGTCGCTGAATGTGTGCATTGACGACTGAAAGACATCTTCTGCCTCCATTTATCTGTTTACTACTGTGTGTTGAATTCATGTTAATGTGGATTTGAAGACATTTCAATTAGTGGGGAAAATTGCAGGGGGAATATAAAAAAAAAAGGTTTAGGTTACAGCTATCCTATACCTGTTTGACCTCTTTTCTCTGGTTCATTTGTCATTTATGTTGAAGACTATCTAAAAATATAAGTCATGTTTTTAGATATTTTATGTGTCAAATCTTGATATTCTTTCTCTGACTTTTTGAAGAACTAAAAAAATCCAGAGTCTATGTTTCTGTTCTTACTATTAAACTTATTGGAACAACAATAACAAAACATTTTTTATATAATCTTCTAATTTCCACTCTTTTGTCAGATATTTGACTTATTTTACTCAGAAATGCAGATCTGCATTGATGACTGAAAGATCTGTTTACTACAGTCTGTTGAATTCATGTTAATGTGGAATTAAAGATATTTCAATTAGTGGAAAATATTGCAGGAGGGAATATAAGTCTAATTAACCAAAACTTGGCGACCCCCATGCAGTACCTCTGCGGACCCCCTAGGGGTCGCGGACCCCCTGTTGAAGACCTCTGCTCTAGGTTATGTTGGACCAAAAAAACTCACTCTCAGAGTTTTTCGGGAATTTCTTCCAGAAGCACTTTTGTTATTTTTCTTATTATATTCGGGAAAGTTGGTGTTTCTTGTTATTACTTTAACATTAATTTTCACCATTAAAATATCCATATTTTTTGAAAGTTCCAAAGGTAATAAGGTCTTGTCCTGGATTCCAGGTACACTATTGGCTTGAAATTTTAATTTTCAAAGTATTTCACGGAGTGCCCTATAAAAGGTTAACATCCTTGGTGTTGTCATGACAACCAGCTAGATGCCTTTACTGATCTCTGCTTCAGACCAGAGAAGGTGGGAACTGGTGGGAAAGTTTGATCCGTTTCGTCTGCTGATGCTTCTTGAAGAAGAGGAAACTCTCTCATCTCACCTCCTGCTTCCTCCAGCAAACCCAGCAGACCTGCTTCACAGGCGGCGCCGCTTCTGCAGAACTCCACGATCTGCTTAAACTCCGCATTCAGGTAGGACTCCTGAGGGGGAGCGGACCTCAGGTGAGGAGTCTCAGCAAAGCACAAGCAGAAGCAGGTGATGAAGTGAGCCGTTTGGTACCTGCAGATGGTAGACGTGTGGATGGAGAGGCTGGTACGTGCTTTTTATGGCGGCTGATCTTTCAGCTGACGCCTCACATAGACGCCTCCGTCTGTCCACCTCCTGGGAAATCTGAAGTTGGAATAATTTCAGATCTGAGGAAAAGAACCGAAACAGAAACTCCCTCCGCAGCCGTCAGCTGAAAATCCAGGATTCTAACTTCAATTCAGTTTATTTCTATAGCGCTGATTCACAACGCAGGTCATCTCAGGGCACGTTACAGTTCAACCAGATCATAGATTATACAGATGAACTTCCTGTCAGCACTTCCAAATTAAAAGCCCCCCAATCAGAGATTGAAAAAATGCAACTGAAAATTTTGAGTTAAAAGTGGAATAATTACCAGAATAAATATACTAATTTATAAATGAAAATATACAAATATGAGAGAAAACTCAACTAATTGTGAACAGAGTGAGATTATAATACAGATTAAAGTATGCTACATAAAGCACATGCAATGCATCATTAATGGGGGGGTTATAGACGGTACAATGGCCTCCTCATGGAAGTTTTTAAAGTAAAAATTTATGATATTATAAATTTGCATCTTTTTACTCTCGTAAATTTAAATGTTTGTTTGTTTTTTGTAAATTAGCCTTTTTATTCTCGTACATTTGCAGCTTGTTGCCTCCTGGGAAATTAGAATAAACTGGTTTTACCTGGTCTGGATTTACTGGACCTGCTTTTCCAGTAATGAGTTATTAAACCAACACCTTAATATATATATATATATATATATATATATATATATATATATATATATATATATATATAGATTCCATCATGCATTTAATTACTTCTTCATTCCTTTACTCATTCATATTTGAGGAAAAATAGTTCTCAGTTCATAAAGAAATATAATAAACAATATTTAACATGTTTATTTACATTCTATTAACTCAGTGACGTCACTTCCGTTCAGTCTGAGAGGATTTTCTTTACCTTTGTCAGAACATCTCCAAACTGCTGCTCCGTGATGCAGCCCAGCCTCTTCAGCAGCTGGAAGCGGAGACAGAATAATCCAGATTAAACCACCATCAGAGCCCCCCCGGTAGGAGCCAGAGCTGGGGCCCCAGGGACTCACCGGCTGGTAGTCCAGTCTGAACTGCTGCTCGGACACAAAGCGGACATGAAGCCGGAAGTCTTCCAGGAAGAAGTTATCGGTTAGGAAGCAGCTGCACGAATAAAACTTTGACTTTCTGTCAGCCTCGTTTGACATTTTCTCTCTGAGGAAAACAACCGAAATTGAAAACAGCTGACATTGAGCCAACTTCCGGTTAGCACTTCCGGTCTGTCCTCTTGCAAATTAAAAGCCCGGCAATCAGAGACGGGGGAAAAAAATGCATCTAAAATGTTTGAGTTTAAAGTGGAATTATTATGAGCATAAACAAACACATTTATTCAATTAAAACATAAAAACATTAGAGAAAAAGCAGCAAATTAGTAAGGAAAAAACACAAACATTTAGGAGAAAAAAGTAGCAAATTTGCAAGTTTTAAACATTTACATGTGTGGAACAGTGCGAGATTATAATACAGATTAAAGTATGCTACATGGAGCACATGCAATGCATCATTAATGGGGAGGGGGGGCTTTAGAGACGGTAAAATGGCAGTAAAAATTTATTATATATTATAATCTCGTAAATTTGCCACTTTAAATTCAAAAATTGAAATTCTATATTTTCTTTTGGTCCTTGAATGGCCCTAATAGCACTATTACTCTATGTATGGTCTGGGGGGCATCAGTTGATGTTATATTTTCCTCCAGAGGGGGCGATAACACAAAAACAAAAACGGAAGGCGATCCGGCCCATGAAGAAGAAGGTGGAAAATATTGGGTGCGCACCATTCTTAATCCGGCAAAGCATATGTGAAGGGGAAGGCGGGGTTTGTAGAGTTGAGCTGTGAATCCTCAGATGATCCAGTCCGTGTAGAAACCAGGAGGCAACTTCCGGTTCATTTATATTGTTGGATTTGAATTCTACAATAAACCCAGATCGCTCACCTTAAAAATTCATTTAAATGGATAACTCCTCCCACGCCTCCTCGTTACTTTTACTCTGTTCGTCCTCCGTCAGAGTGTAAAGGAACGCACCCAGACGTCCGCTGGCTCCTCTGTGGGATTGTAATCCCAGGCTGTAATCCTCCAGCTGCTGGGATTGTTCGGTGTTTCCCTGCAGGGAGACGGTGGGGCTCCTTTCTGCCCCTCCGGGTGTACCTTCTGCGTGGGACATGCTGAGCGTGGACAGTTTACAGGTGGCTGAGGAGGAGATGGTGGAGTCCAGCTCCAACAAACTCTCTGACATTTACACGTTCGTGGCCAAAGGCAGCCTCCCTCTGACCATGAATCCTCTACAGAAGAAGAATTTTAAAAGATACGCCAAGAAATTCATCTTTGAAGGTAAGAGCAGCTGCTAAACTCCGCCCACTTCCTACGCGGTGACTGTCAGTCTAACTTTGGCTCATAAAGTTTCAACTGGGAGTTAGCATTCATTCACTCATTCATTCTTCATGCATTCATTCACTCATTCATTCTTCGTGCATTCATTCACTCATATCTTCATGCATTCTTTCCTTCACTTATTCATTTTTTCATGCATTCATTCACTTATTCATTCCTTCACTTATTCATTCACTCATTCATTCCTTCATGCATTCTTTCCTTCATGCATTCATTCATTCACTCCATCATTCCTTCATGCATCCATTCCTTCATGCATCCATTCCTTCATGCATCCATTCCTTCATGCATTCATTCCCTCATGCATTCATTCACTCATTCATTCCTTCATGCATTCTTTCCTTTATGCATTCATTCCTTCATGCATTCATTCCCTCATGCATTCATTCACTCATTCATTCCTTCATGCATTCTTTCCTTTATGCATTAATTCCCTCATGCATTCATTCACTTATTCATTCCTTCACTTATTCATTCACTCATTCATTCCTTCATGCATTCTTTCCTTCATGCATTCATTCATTCACTCCATCATTCCTTCATGCATCCATTCCTTCATGCATCCATTCCTTCATGCATTCATTCCCTCATGCATTCATTCACTCATTCATTCCTTCATGCATTCTTTCCTTTATGCATTAATTCCTTCATGCATTCATTCACTCATTCATTCCTTCATGCATTCTTTCCTTTATGCATTAATTCCTTCATGCATTCATTCACTTATTCATTCCTTCATACATTCATTCACTCATTCATTCCTCCATGCATTTACTTCGTGCATTCTTTACTTCATGCATTCATTCACTTATTAATTCCTTCATGCATTCCTTCATGCATTCATTCACTCACTCATTCCTTCCTTCCTTCCTGAGTGCGTCCCAGAGGGGAAGCTGTTCTACGTCGGACCCAAAAAGGAGGAGAAGCGGGAGGTGGTGATCGAGGCCAAGAGGAAGATGCAGATCTTCCTGGATTCCCACCTGAGTGACGTCGGCCGTCATCTGGGCCAGAAGAAAACCGTCCACCGGATCCAGAGCAGGTTCTACTGGCTCGGCATCATTAAGGACGTGGTGGAGTGGGTAAGGCCGCCTCATTTCCCGCCGCTGCTTCAACCCTACGGTCTCATCCAGTAACGGAGGCGCTGCTGTTCTAGATCAAAGTGTGTGAAACCTGTCGGCAAACCGAGAGGAACAAGAACCTGGCCAGAACTGTCCGGCCCGCTAGAGTGGAGGCACCCTGGGATATCGTTGGCATTGATTTCATCGGTGGGTTTGGAAGCTTCAGGTGATTATTTCCTGCAGGACCAAGAGCTGAGTGTCCTTTTCTCTCCAACAGGACCGTTCACAGAAACCCGGCGAGGGAACAGAAGCGTGGTTCTGTTCATCGATTACTTTAGCAAATGGCCAGAGGCTTTCCCCGTGCAAACAGTGGACCCCCTGTCGGTGGCCAGGTGTGTCTCCAACTGCATATACAGGTGAGAGCAACTCTTTCTAGTTTATTAGGGGTTTTTATTCCACGTTCAGTGTTTTTAACCTCTAGTCTGCTGTTGCATCAGGTTTGGAGCCACTAAAACGGTGGTTTGCGCCCAGAAGCCTGAATTCTGTGAAGAGGTGAGATTGTGAACTCCTCCTACGTCAGACAGGTTCGCTGTGAGGAAGCTAAATCCTTTCTCTAGGTGTCAAAGGTGCTGCATGAGAAGTGGAAGCTGGTGCAGAGGGTTTCTGCTCTGGATCAGCCTCAGCTCAACCCGCTGCACGACTGCAGCGGCCCGCTGCTGAAGGAGGCTGTGGAGCAGATGGTGGCGGAGAAGCAGGCGGACTGGGACGACTTCCTGGACCCGGTCCTCTTCCTCTTCCGGACCTCCAGCAACCCGACGACCAAGTTCGCTCCATATTCGCTCATGTTTAGCAGGAAGGCCAATCCACCCGGCGAGGTGAGCCTGCAGAAACCACCTGCTGGTAAAAAACATCTTTATGTTTTAGGCTTATTTTTAATGCTTTGCTTTCATGTAGACCAGGCTGACGCCGCCTCAATACGACGAGCCGGAGACGGACGGCTGCAGGGAGCAGGACGGCTGCAGGGAGCAGGACGGCTGCAGGGAGCAGGACGGCTGCAGGGAGCAGGACGGCTGCAGGGAGCAGGACGGCTGCAGGGAGCAGGACGGCTGCAGGGAGCAGGCCTCCACATGCATGAACATAATGCGTGAGCAGCAGAACGCCGTTAAGCAGATGGTAAGAGGATTCTTTCTCTCTATATCTGACCGCCAGATTCCACATTCTCCGTTAGCGCTCCTCTCATGTACGTCGTGCGGAGTACTTGTCTGTCATGTTAATCAATCAGAACTGTTCCTCATCCACCGCTACTCCTCCACACGTCACCGTCCACGTACGTCTTCTCCGTCTTTTGCCATCAAAATACGAATCAGAGCTGTTTTTTTCTCTGCTCCGGTCCGGCCAGGTCAAGATCCCCCATTGTAATCGCAGCAAACAGGAAAAGGAACATTAAGAAGATCCAGTTCGTTAGTAACAACAGATCGGTTACTACAAATTACAGCATAATTCTTATATATTCCAAAAAACAAACAGCGTTTATTTAAAGGCACACTATGCAACATTTTTCAGTTAATTAATGTGTTCCATAACGTTTTGGATGATTAAATGAGTCATTTCATGTTGAACAAAAGTTTTCTCGGCCGCCCTGGTGGTCTGTGGGGGAAAAACCGCACTTGCAACTGCAGGAGCACCGACCCGCACCCACAGGCTCAGAAGTCTCGCGAGAGTCGCTCTTGCTTTACGGCGAGAACTGCTACACCCCCCAGTTAAAAGCATGCTCGTTGCTAGCACAGTGGCGATCTTTGTGCAGTTATGCTTTCACACCGGACGCAGCAAAAGCAGCAAAATCTCGTCTGCTGCTTCATTTTTGCTGCTTGTACCAGTTAGTTCTGACGCGCAGCTGAAGCAGCTTTGCTGCTCTGGCTGCGCGGTGCAAAAGTGTGTCTGACGCGCGTTGGGCGGAGCTTCACTATCCTTTCTCTGCCTTGCAGCTATATTTGCTGTGATCAGTGGGAATAAAGTAGTTTTAATATGTGTTTAAGTGAGAAAATCCACCTGAAAACGTAATCAGTGCAGTCAGTTCATTCAGATCATCATCCTGCCTTCCAATATTTTTTCTGTCGGAGCTGCTCAGACCCCCACATACCAGCGGTGCGCCGACAGTAGGAATCTCTCCTCGCGGTTCACCGCGGCAGCTGGTAGGTGTTTTTCATCTAAATAATCCAAACTGCAGCCAGCAGGATAATAAAAGCCAACATATTCTGCCGGCAGATTTCTGCATTTTAAGTTAATTTAGGCGTCAATAAACTGTTTCAGAGGAGTGATCATAGCCTCTGATCATCAGCGCTGTGTCTCTCTCCCTGCCAGCTCCCAGATCAGCTTCTCTGATTGGTTGACGCGGCGCGTCGAGCAGCAAAAATTCATTTTTTCCATCTCGAGCAGCAGCGCGTCACGCGCGTCAGATGCTTAGTCATTGTTGCGTCCGCCTGTCTGCTAAGCTCAAAACAACCGCGCCTGGCTTGACGGAGAAACCAGGAGAACAGCTGAGCATATTTACGACAGTGCACTTTTACTTTCGCCCTCTGGGGGGAGCCTCGCTGGAAAATCAACACCGGTTGCATAGTATACCTTTAAAAAGATTGGATGCAAACTATCAGTACTTCAACAGACAAGGAAGCAGATTTCTCATCTCCATCAAAATATATATTTTATACCGAGAGGCTTAAAAGTTTCATCAAATCCAGTTACAACTTCCAAAGAGCGCATCTCACAACTTCAAAAGAAGCTTCTTATCTCAGGCAAAGATGAAGAGATGATCCTGGTTATCCCTGTAACAAAAATACACAACAAACCAAATATATTTGGGCAGAAACTGAACATATGCTGGATGATAGTGGGGATTCTTTAAATGATGTCATATGTAAATAAGCGTTCATCTGCATGTTTTGCTCCTATTAATTTAATAATAATAATATATATGGCATGCTCTGCTCCAGCTCAGAGGAAGTCGGGAGGAACAGCTGTAGGTTTTGCTTTGAGCAGGAGGTCTGGGGTGCAGCGGTGACGGAGGATGTGGGATTTCAGGCTAACAGAACTTCTTTTAAGATAAGGCGGGTGTGTGTGTAAAACCTGCTTTTGGCCACTAGGAGGCAGCAGAGGAACCGTTCTCTGCTCCACCAGCCTGATCCAGTATTTCCCTGTTTATCATCAGAGCTGCGATAGAAACTATTAGCGCCTAATGTGTTTCAGTGAAGATCAGTGGACTGACTGCAGCTTTCATCATTTGAAGACGGTTTCCTCAGCAGAGAAGAAACATAAAGAACTAAATATAAACGTGAAAATGCTGAAATCATGTGCAGCAGAAAGCAGGTTGGTGAATCAATTACAGGTGCTGGTCATAAAATTAGAATATCATGAAAAAGTAGATTGATTTCAGTAATTCCATTTAAAAAGTGAAACTTGTATATTATATTCATACATTACATACAAACTCATATATTTCAGATGTTTATTTTGTTTCATTTTGATGATTACAAATGACAACAAATGAAAATCTCAAATTCATCATATCAGAAAATTAGAATATTGTGAAAAGGTTCAAAATTGATGGCCCCTGGTGCCACACTCTAATCAGCTAATTAACTCAAACCACCTGCAAAAGCCTTTAAATGGTCTTTCAGTCTAGTTCTATAGGCTACACAATCATGGGGAAGACTGCTGACTTGACAGTTGTCCAAAAGACGACCATCGACACCTTGCACAAGGAGGGCAAGACACAAAAGGTCATCGCTAAAGAGGCTGGCTGTTCACAGAGCTCAGTGTCCAAGCACATTAATAGAGAGGCGAAGGGAAGGAAAAGATGTGGTCGAAAAAAGTGTACAAGCAAGAGAGATAACCGCACCCTGGAGAGGATTGTGAAACAAAACCCATTCAAAAATGTGGGGGAGATTCACAAAGAGTGGACTGCAGCTGGTGTGAGTGCTTCAAGAACCACCACACACAGACGTATGAAAGACATGGGTTTCTGCTGTCGCATTCCTTGTGTCAAGCCACTCTTGAACCACAGACAGCGTCAGAAGCGTCTTGCCTGGGCTAAAGAGAAACAGGACTGGACTGCTGGTGAGTGGTCCAAAGTCATGTTCTCTGATGAAAGTAAATTTTGCATTTCCTTTGGAAATCAAGGTCCCAGAGTCTGGAGGAAAAGAAGAGAGGCACTTCATCCACGTTGCTTGAAGTCCAGTGTAAAGTTTCCACAGTCAGTGATGGTTTGGGGTGCCATGTCATCTGCTGGTGTTGGTCCATTGTGTTTTCTGAGGTCCAGGGTCAACGCAGCCACATACCAGGAAGTTTTAGAGCACTTCATGCTTCCTGCAGCTGACCAACTTTTTGGAGATGCAGATTTCATTTTCCAACAGGACTTGGCACCTGCACACAGTGCCAAAGCTACCAGTACCTGGTTGAAGGACCATGGTATCCCTGTTCTTAATTGGCCAGCAAACTCTCCTGACCTTAACCCCATAGAAAATCTATGGGGTATTGTGAAGAAGAAGATGCAATACACCAGACCCAACAATTCAGAAGAGCTAAAAGCCACTATTAGAGCAACCTGGGCTATCATAACACCTGAGCAGTGCCACAGACTGATCGACTCCATGCCACGCCGCATTGCTGCAGTAATACAGGCCAAAGGAGGCCCAACTAAATACTGAGTGCTGTACATGCTCATACTTTTCATGTTCATACTTTTCAGTTGGCCAACATTTCTATAAATCCTTTGTTTTTATTGGTCTTCAGTAATATTGTAATTTTCTGATATGAGGAATTTGAGATTTTCATTTGTTGTCATTTGTAATCATCAAAATTAAACAAAATAAACATCTGAAATATATGAGTTTGTATGTAATGTATGAATATAATATACAAGTTTCACTTTTTAAATGGAATTACTGAAATCAATCTACTTTTTCATGATATTCTAATTTTATGACCAGCACCTGTAGGGCTGAAACATTTCATCAGATGAATCAATTATTCATCAATCGATTAATCGTTAATTGGAGCAGGAATTATACCAAGATTGTAAAAAAAATATGTTAACATTTGGCATTTAAGATTAAAAACATTTTAGTCTGTCAGTCTGCTCTATCCTGATAATGTTTAGTTTCATCTGGTTTAAATCTTCTTTAAGCAATCTTTGGTTATCTGATCATTAATCTGATTCATCAATAAGGAAAATGATGCATATCTAGAATCAAATGGTTATTTTAATGTGATCAAGATGTGAACGTATTTTTCCTTTTGACTGAAGATGCAGCCCTCAGTAATGTTCTCAGCTGTGATTCAAAGCAGCTGCATGACTCATCATTTGTCTCACCAAATGGTTTTCCTCTGAACCCCGGAGGCTACGTTCACACTGCACGCCTTGATTCAATTCCGAATCAACTTTTTTTGTGTGTGTGTGTGAAATCCGATTCTTTTGTGTGGTCCTTCCCATTGCCAAATGTGTAACCTGTATTTGATCTCCTGTGTGACCAAAAATCAAAATTCCGATTATTTATTATTTTCAAGAACGCAAATGCGATATTATTTTGATTTTCCTTTGCACTAACCCCAATCTTATCTGTCTGACTAGTAAAAGCAGCATTAATTGGATCTAATTTAAGCAACAGAAAGTTAAAGTTTGCTCCGGTTTTCTACCTCCTGCTTTGCTGGGAAACACTATTTTTGCAATCTTTGTAAACTGATTAAGATTAGACTTCGCCACATCCAGCTGAGTCTAATGCTTCACAAAGGTTTAAAGGATCATTACGTGTAACTGAGTGGGAATTTCTCTGTGTTTGCTTCTGATAAGACGGTTTGAAGCAAAGCGCCAGGTGGCATCAGATCAGACATCTCCGTAAACAAAACCTTATTTTTTCCAGGTGATTGCAAACATGAATGCGGCCTACAAACAGGAGAAGAAAAGGAAGAAGGCAAAGCGCAGGATGCAGAGCGCCTCCCCGGCTACGCTGAAGGTTACAGAGCCCCTGTTTGCTGCAGGGGACTCACCCTCCGCCAAAAAAGTCAAAGACAGCTTGTATCTGTCCTTTCCCGTGGAGACGGTGCTGGCCACCGAGCCGAACGGCGCCGAGGGCGTGAAGACGGAGCTGGCGTACCGCCTGGCTCAGCCTGACGTCCACTGATGATGATGATGCTGACTGAACAGTGTCATTTAAGGCTGAAGCTCAGAGATTCACCTCCACTTTCTGCAAACAGACACCTTCTCATCTGATAAACTCCACTCAGACTGAATGTGATGGACCAACACAAAGCAGAGCGTCAGCAGGAAGGGGAGGAACATCTATTGCTTTTATTTCTATAAAAATAAAGTTGAAAAGGGGATGCAGCGCTTGAGATTTGCACTCCTGTCTCTTCTGTTCATTTAAAGCAGCTCAAGATCAGTCTGATTTAGTTAATGAGGCGTCATGAATACTGACACCTGATGGACGTTTGAAGACACTACAGGCAGCCTCTGAGACTAAAATGAAATAATTTGATGGACTTGTCCAATAATATAATTGAAGTAATTGTGTGTTATGTTGTGTTATTTCATATCTACAGTTAAATTAAGAAAATCTTTGATATTTTTTTGATGCTGCCAATAAATAATGTGAACACTTATATGAATATTTAGGTGAAAAATTGACTGAGGATGCTTGTGGACTTGGATATAATTTTAAAACAGTAAGTAGAATGTAAAAAAGTAAACTAAGAGGCAATTTGAAATTAACTTTAGTTCAGATAAATTGGGTGATAACTGAGAAGAACAAGATGACACAATGAAAGAAAAAGCTCCTGTATCTTAGACGACTTTTATTGTCATATCTTATACACTTAGGGCCGGATCTATCAAAGGTTTGCTAGTATAAAAACGTGAGCTATTTCACTGCGCACGCTAAAAAATGTACAAACTGATCTATCAACACCGTGCTAAAAGGATTTGGTCTTTAAAACGTGCTAAATAGCGCCTGTTATCCATTTAGTACTTTTTCTGCTATGAATATGCTATATGGGGCGTTTACACGCAAAAGTGCGTCTTGTGGGAGGAGAACATGTAAATATATTAATTTAGCACTCGCAAAGTGATTTATCAAACCTGAAAGCAATTTTGCTAACGGTATCTGACTCTATATTTAACACGTTTCAAAAGAAGGTGCAAATGGTCTGTATGCGTAATTGCGCACACATGGCAGCGGTTATTGTCGCAAGAAGGAGACATGGAAATGAAGCAAGGAGACGCAGAGAACGCATTTTTTCACTCCGTGTGAATGTTTTTGGAATGAACGAGGAAACGATCATCAAAACATATCGTTTATCCAGCATTGCCATTTTGGAGCTGTTGGAGGAACTCCGAATGGATTTGGAGCCAGCCACAAGGAGGACCCACGCAATACCAGATATCACTAAACTCCTTGCAACGTTTCACTTTTTTGTATCTGGGTCATTCCAGCGTACGGTTGCAGCGAGAGCTGGGATCTCCCAATCTCGTTTTTCAGAAGTGCTGTCCGACGTTCTAAATGCCATGTCGCCCTGACGCCCTACCGGAGAAACCAGACCTCTGCGCCTGTGGAGCAACATGCCAATGCTGCGGGGATGTGTACGCGCAGTAATCTCATCCACAGTCACTTCTCGTGAACCATTTGGTATGTGCATTTTTCTACAGGCCAATACAAAACACCTGGTTTTTTACTGCAGTGAAGTAGAAATTCAGCCACATACCACCTTAGGGAATAAAGGTTGCCAAAGTTTTTTTATATATATATTTTTGGAGGGGGTGGGGGTGTCACTGTAAGATTTAAATTTCTTAATGCACTAGTTTGTACAAACTACAAACTACTTTGCCGCAAACCACAAAACGCGTAAAACCATCATTTAAATAGGGCGTCTCCAACAGTTTTGCACCTGCCACCAGTTACGCAATCACTCTTGTTAAATCACCTGCAAACCATGGTTCAGCCCCTCGCGCAAAATTCCAGTTTATGAGCGCAAATTACTGCATGCAAAATTGATAAATCCGGCCCAGAGTGTATGCAAAACAAAATGTCTTTTTGTTCAGCTTTCATGACATTTCCTTTTCATAAACAAACAGTGTGGGAAAACAGACGGTGCAGCTGATCTCAGGCTGTTCTCTACATCCAGTCTGTTCCCCTGAGCTCAAGGTGAATTAAAGAAAAACTTGATTTTTTGGTTCATAAAAACTTTTAAATCGCTTCCTCACAAAACAGAAAAGATCTTATTTTACTACCTGTAACTCCAAATTGACAACACCGGCACGGCTTCCTTTAGACGAGCTCTTTATTAAACGCCTTGAAAACTACAGAAGGAGAAGACAAAGTTTTAGATATTGATACATTTACAGACAATCAGGTGACACTGGCTTTAACAGAAGCTACCTCGTGACCGCCCGCCACATTTAGAGGTCTTTAACAGTTAAATTTTTCCTCTTCCACTCTAAATTAAAATATTAAGTAATTAAAGAAAAGCCATAACTAATAACATTGCAAAATATTACAAACATAACTACAAATACCTTGACAGCTACAGTAAACACAAGGCTGTTCCACATAGCTCTGATCCAAGCTTCTGCTCCTTCTATGTTTATTCAAGTCGAGTTGCTTTTCACATAGACGCAAATCTCGCAATAACTTTCAACAAAAAATAGCTCAACACAAAAAAATTATGCAATCAAATTGCACATTCCCAAAACATGAACCAAACATAAAATACATTGTCTTAACTATTAGAAATAAACATAAATTTTTTCCAAGAAATAAATTATTTCACTGACTCTTACACTACCTAAGAAATAAAATATTTTCATGTACCAATTGCAATGCACTCCCTGACCACTAGGGGTACGCGGACCCCCGGTTGGGAATCATTGGGTTAGTGGTGGAGAGGGTCGCTGTCCATGGTGCTGATGATTCTATCTAAACTTAATGGACTGTCGAATGTTTCCTCTCTCCACTTACACTTGATCGGATGGTTATAGTTTGATTATTTTAGTTAATTATTATTTTAGTGAATGTTAAACACTCTGGGAGACGTTCATTAATTAATTATTTTTAAAATTTCTAAATCATAAATGTTGACTTTTCTCTTAAATCTGCAACATAAATAGGATTATATGACCTATTTATTTGATTATTTAAAGATCCCCATTAGTCTCTGTGAGAGACTGCTCTTCCTGGGGTCCATTTTTAACTGAAAAACATCACAATCAGAACATAAAACAAACTTACCGTAGAAATGGCATAAAAACATTATGTCATCCATAGTTTTTGGTTAATCTGTGGAGACGTATGTATAATTACTGTCTGACAATTTGATTATTTAAATCAATGGCGTTTTGAATCTGAATTTAATTTTATTCTAAAGATCCAATCAGTAATCAGAATGTCTCAGCATAAAATTGTTAAATAATCTGGGAGGAGCCTTCTGAATGTTATTACCACCCACAGATCCTCTATAGACGAGATGCACCACCCGTCCTGGCAAAGAAAAGTCCTGTGGACTGAAGCTTGTTTCTCTGAAATGGGGTCTAGAATCAGTTCACTTTTCTAAGCAAGTTGGAAAAGCTGCTTGTAAATTGTTATTCAATGCATCACAAAACATTGTTTTCCATAAAAAAAGCGTGTTCAGAAATAGTTTTTACAGTGACACAGTGTGTGCCTCTGCTTTAGGGGATTACAACCTGTTAGTGATAAAGAGTTTTAACCGGCAGATTCCAACATATTTTATAAGTATGGCCTCTGTTTTGCTAGTTCTGCTCTCAGTTAATATGCTGCTATAGGCTTAGACTGCTGGAGGACATAGGGACCCCTTTTTCATCACTCTGCTTCATTCTATCTCTATTCTCCCACTCTGCAGAATCTGTTAGTTCAATCTCTAACGTTCTGCTCTCTCTGCTTTTTCTCATAGTAGCTTCATCTGGTCTGTTCCTGTTTGGCTGTGACTCCATCCTGGAGAGAAATATCAGCTGTGCTGCTGCCATCAACACCTTTGTTTCTAGATGTTGGAGCTTGGCCTGTTTTCCAGTGTAGTCCTGTTTCTCTGACTGTGACTAACTGGATGTGCTCTCTTCATCCTCTGACATGGGAGCTGGCTCGGAGCTCGTCTGCCTGGCTGTGTGTTTCCTGGACGGGGCCGCCTGTGGAGCTGGTTGACAGTTGCCTTTTGTATCTATGCTTCTTTTTCTATATCTGCTTCTGTCTCCTTGAACCCCAGTGGGCCTCAGCAGATGGCCACTCACACTGAGCCTGGTTCTGCTGGAGGTTTCTTCCTGTTCAAAGGGAGTTTTTACTCTCCACTGTCGCTACAAGCAAGCTTAGTGTGAGGGATTACCTTTGAGTCTTTTTTGTTTTTGTTTTCTAAACAAAAACAAGGCTTTGTTGAGCTGCTGTAAGCCTGGAAATCAACCCTATTTCTAACATTTTGAATTGAAAAAGCTTCCTGGATGGGAAGCAAAACATCTTCAAACTTGGAGACAAAGTCCAGTGGATTTATTTTAAGTTGTGGTGAAAAACATTTTGGGATGAATTGTCTGGATGAAACAAATTATTTTGATGGTTTTTTTAATTTTGTTTTGGGGTTTTTTAATACCAACAGGCCATAATGAAAATTAGCTTAACTGAAACAAAACAAATGACTCTATTTTTGAAAATGTAAGGAAAAGAAAGTAGAGATAATTGCAAAAATGTAAGGGGTAGAAGTAAAAAGTTATCTAAAAAATAATTACTCCAGTAAATTATAGACAGCCAACATTTCTACTTAAAGTAAACTAAGTATTTGTTTTTTGTGAATTGACTCCTCTGAACCCAGACAGCTGGAAGCTGGAGTTTATTTCCTCGGTATCCATGGCAACGCCAAGAAGCCACCAAAAGAGCTCCATGGCACTTGGAAGAGAGATATTCCTGTTAGTTCAGATACAGTTCATAAAGTATTCTCAAAAAAATTTTAATGGCCTTTTCTACCTAAAGCCAAAGAAACACCTTTTAAAGTTATAAACAAAATGTATCCTGTGGCAGAATAAAAAAAAAAAGATTTGGTTTTGAGGTGGATCAATGTTCCTTTTGTAATAATAATAGTGAAACTCTTGAACATCTGTTTTACCTGTGTCCTCCGACACATCGCTTCTGGAAAGAGATGAAAGATTGGATTTCTTTGAAAATGAATGATGTCCCCATTTGCCCTAAATGATGTCATTTTTTTTATATGGGCC